AGATTAAAAGACGAGATAGTATACAGCTACAGAAGCGGACATACCTGGTTAACACAACAAAGACATCCGAACTTATAACAATAACGAAAATTTTTAATGAAACATCAATGTAAAAATGATAGGAATGAAATACACACAGATTTTCTAAACCTTTGTTTTGAAGTTTTCATGTAACATTTTACATTTTTGTGACATTTCTTTAACATTTGCCTGCCAGACAGAAGGGGATTTTGTCAAACCGTTACTCACTAGCATTACTAGCATATCATGACGTCATATTTATAGCCGTAGAGACGAAACAGCGTCAAAAACAGTGTTCCTTCCACAGAATCTTGAAGTCGGTAATCGACAACTTGTATCAGTTTGATACTATCAGAATGTATACCAAAAATATTAAACATAAGGAAATTTAAATGTAATTATTGGACTGCCTTGTAATGGCATTCATAAGCTTATTAATGACATAGCTAAGAAGACAAACATCATGTCGCAATATAATGTTTGCTTGTCATGTATCACATTGACAAACGCATATAGGGGTTGGTTTGGTTTTAGTTTGATTGTTATTAACGTCTAATTAACAGTCATGGTAATTTAAGGGCGTGCATGCGGCCAGTACCTGGTGAATGCCCCATGTAGGCCTCGAACCCGCGACCAAGAGATGGAGGGCTATTGTGATAAAGACCCTCAGAGGCCTTAACCATTTGCTGCGACGTGCTTAGTGTATAGCTAGGGCTATTGACAGGTCAAGGGGTCATCTTCAAAATTATAGTTTAAGAACAGGTTAGATAGTAAAGGCAGCCCCTCCCTATAGCTTCCTTTTTTTGCCTATCTACTCATTTTCCTAACTTTCCTCGTCCGCTGAAAGACCAAAAGGCCGTAATGATGAACTTAAAACCCGTTAAATACACAGATTGATTTACCACTTGGCCACTGCGGCTTCATCAAGATTGACCAATGTTTAAATAATCGTTGTTCTTTCGTTTTATGACAGAACTGACCACTGTATTTCGGTTAAATGGATTCGTGTTCGATGCTTTTGTGTAATAACAGAAAGTAAGTATAATTGTCAAAAGCCGCGAATTGCTAATGTCAATAACTAATTACCAGTAATAGGAACATACAAACGCCCCGTCATAAAATTCATGCATGTATTTTGGTAACGTCAATAGCTATGTGGATTTTGGTTGTAGTACCGTTCAATGACTGACCTATGTATTAGTAACACTGGGTATGTATTGTATATTTTACAACAGTAGAACCTGTGATTACGGACTCTATCCCGACAGTTACACGACAATAAATCAATACAGATCCGGTTTTCTCACCTTAATAAATAATTGATGAATAACATATACCTGTGCCTTGACAGACATTTTCACATGTACATTGTGTATCATCTCTCACTAGAGGCAATCGCTTATAATATAATTTAAATCTTTTAATGACGTCAACTCAATTCCAAAAGGAAAGAGTAACGTATGCTGGAACACGCCCCCTTTCAGCTGTACTAACTCGAATTGTACGACCTCAAGACATCCCCGCGTGTAATGTAACGATGTAATATAAACGTAAAGGTTTGAAGGCTTAGGCTGCTAGAGTGTTCAGATATAACACTTCTCAGATTATAATCTGATTTGAATATTCATGGCTCATTGTGGTCGCAATATCTTTATAACGAAATCAGGCATTTTGCTAAGATGGTTGACGTCTTTTCTATATTAAGATTTAAACGTCATGATTTGAGCTTGAACACAATGCAGTAAGTCTACGGACCACGACATATACACTCGATCCTGTATTGTCACCACATTTTAACGAGTACCTGCTGATGAATGGACAGATTATATTACTGCTACTCAGTATAAAGCTTTATCTTACCTGTAACAATATAAGATACTAATTCTAAAGGTATCCATCAGCTCTATACTCTGAAACACACTTTATGTTTCGTGATACGTCTTTTGCTACTTGGAATAACTTGTTCTGTTGTACTGATCCGGCTCAAACTGTTTTATTTACGTTTTCATTTCGATCTCACTAAACGAAAAAAAAAAAATATAAACAAAAACACCGCACAGTAGATTAACCCTAACTCTTAATATAATCAGCTATTTCTCAGGTAATCTCGACTTCCCGAGTAATTTTACTGAAATGAAAATAAATGTAGGGTGACAACGACGTGAGCGAAAACCGAAATCAGTATATCATTATACACGGTATTTCCTAAAGGGATCTGATTGCTGATCAGTGTCGTACAGCTTTTACATTAACACAGAGAACAGGACCAACATAGTGAACCAGACCAAGCCGTTCTAATATTTTCATGCTCGTTTTGAGTGATAACTACATGAACTATCATATGTTATAATATTTCATATTGCACTTCATTTTTTCACTAGTTCTGACTGTAGAAGAGAAAACATGGATTGATCCACCAGTTTCTAGATGATGTTTTACTTTCCCCTGTTAAACATCGCTGGAATAGTGAGAGAAATATCCCCAAAGTCAGACGCGAGTCGAAAGTATAGATGTTGTCTTCGATTCTCGAGTGTCAAAAGGATGGAAAGACAAAGATGAAAAGACAGGAAAACCTTTATGTTTAATGGAGTGATGTCCTTCTTAAAAGTATCGGTCGTATCTAAATTATACTTCTATGACGGTGGTCGTGGTGTAATACCGTAACTCAAAGTATACAAGTTAAAGGAATGTATTCTAACTTAACCTGAAAGTAAATTGAAGTGAAGGACGGTTCTTTGTCTTATTTTGAATAATGCAACAAATGAGAAACATCCCGTGTAATACGTGCAGGATAGTTTACAGAAGTTATGGTGTACATAACAACAAAAATAGTGTCCTAGAGACAAATTTCGACATAAGTAATAATACTAGATATATACCTGGTGACAAAGTTCGATAAAAGTAATACTACTAGAAATATACCTGGTGACAAAGTTCGACAAAGGTTATTCTACGAAATATATACCTGGTGACAAAGTTCGATAAAAATAATTTTACTAGTTATAAACCTGGTGACAAAGTTCGATAAAAGTAATTCTACGAAATATATACCTGGTGACAAAGTTCGACAAAAGTAATTCTGCTAGTTATAAACCTGGTGACAAAGTTCGACAAAAGTAACACTGCTATATATATACCTGGTGACAAAGTTCGACAAAAGTAATTCTACGAAATATATACCTGGTGACAAAGTTCGACAAAAGTAATTCTGCTATATATATACCAGGTGACAAAGTTCGACAAAAGTAATTCTACGAAATATATACCTGGTGACAAAGTTCGACAAAAGTAATTCTGCTAGATATATACCTGGTGACAAAAGTAATTCTGCTAGATATATACCTGGTGACAAAGTTCGACAAAAGTACTACTACTAAATATATACCTGGTGACAAAGTTCGACATAAGTAATACTACTAGATATGTACCTGGTGACAAAGTTCGACATAAGTAATACTACTAGATATGTACCTGGTGACAAAGTTCGACATAAGTAATACTACTAGATATGTACCTGGTGACAAAGTTCGACATAAGTAACACTGCTATATATATACCTGGTGACAAAGTTCGACAAAAGTAATTCTACGAAATATATACCTGGTGACAAAGTTCGATAAAAGTAAAACTACTAGATATGTACCTGGTGGCAAAGTTCGACAAAAGTAATACAGTTATATATGTGCCTGGTGACAAAGTTCGACAAAAGTAATTCTGCTAGATATATACCTGGTGACAAAGTTCGACAAAGGTTATTCTACGAAATATATACCTGGTGACAAAGTTCGATAAAAATAATTTTGCTAGTTATATACCTGGTGACAAAGTTCGACATAAGTAATACTACGAAATATATACCTGGTGACAAAGTTCGACAAAAGTAATACTACTAAATATATACCTGGTGACAAAGTTCGACAAAAGTTATTCTACGAAATATATACCTGGTGACAAAGTTCGACAAAAGTAACACTGCTATATATATACCTGGTGACAAAGTTCGACAAAAGTAATTCTACGAAATATATACCTGGTGACAAAGTTCGACAAAAGTAATTCTGCTAGTTATAAACCTGGTGACAAAGTTCGACAAAAGTAATACAGTTATATATGTGCCTGGTGACAAAGTTCGACAAAAGTAATTCTGCTAGATATATACCTGGTGACAAAAGTAATTCTGCTAGATATATACCTGGTGACAAAGTTCGACAAAAGTAATTCTACGAAATATATACCTGGTGACAAAGTTCGACAAAAGTAATTCTGCTAGTTATAAACCTGGTGACAAAGTTCGACAAAAGTAACACTGCTATATATATACCTGGTGACAAAGTTCGACAAAAGTAATACAGTTATATATGTGCCTGGTGACAAAGTTCGACAAAAGTAATTCTGCTAGATATATACCTGGTGACAAAGTTCGACAAAAGTAACACTGCTATATATATACCAGGTGACAAAGTTCGACAAAAGTAATACAGTTATATATGTACCTGGTGACAAAGTTCGACAAAAGTACTACTACTAAATATATACCTGGTGACAAAGTTCGACATAAGTAATACTACTAGATATGTACCTGGTGACAAAGTTCGACATAAGTAATACTACTAGATATGTACCTGGTGACAAAGTTCGACATAAATAATACAGTTATATATATACCTGGTGACAAAGTTCGACAAAAGTAATACTGTTAGATATATACCTGGCGACAAAGTTCGATAAAAGTAAAACTACTAGATATGTACCTGGTGGCAAAGTTTGACAAAAGAAATACTGTTATCTATATACCTAGTGTGAAAGTTCGACAAAAGTAATACTGCTAGATATATACCTGGTGACAAAATTCGTAAGAAGTAATGCTGCTACAGCAGGTTCAATCAATATCTAGTGACAATTTTCGAAATTTATGTCACACTGCTTCTTGTGTGCATATACTTGACATTATAACAGATGTAGTAAACAAACAAACATACCTATGTCCAGTTGATATCGAAACTATTGCTGCCAATGCCAGCATCAGCAACAGGTATTTCCAGCCATCCATGTTTATAGGAGGACAATAGGTACGGTCGTACCGACAGTCCACCAGACGTCCCTATTATAATGTAGGTATACCAATGTGATATATCAGCTGTGTTTGTTTCTATCGACATGCGCACTCCAGCTCCACCTGAGAAGGCAGTGGAGCTTACCATGGATTGTCGCCCTAACCCAATGTTGGCTAGTTTTCAATGGTGAATATATATTTCAGTAGTTGACTTGATTGTGATTTCTAATATCGAAATCAGTTAACTAGTTTATTGAATAAAGTTCTTTTGATCATTGACGTTCAAGCTATACTGCCGTGTAATGCTGGTTAAATTAACCTGAACTACATGTACCTACCACATGTATATACATTTCCAATAGTGAGTTAAAATACACTCACATTTCGACACTGAACAGGTTACAAATCCGTGATGGTTCTGATAAGTAATTGACAGAGTGTTCGGTATAACTAAAAATGTAATGATATAACGGTTTAAACTTAGAAGCAGTCGTCTATTCTGACAGGATATAAAATATTCAAAACTAGAAAAAATGAAATGATATAACGGCTTCAACTTAGAACGCAGTCGTCTATTCTGATAGTTTATGAAATATTCAAAACGAGATAAATGTGTAATAATATCACGGCTTCAACTTAGAACGCAGTCGTCTATTATGTAACATTCAGAACTAGAAAAAAAATGAATAATAATATTATGAACCAGACTAAACCCTCTGGAGCAAGGATACAAGATTGGAATGAACAAAGGAATCATTGAAGAAATACATCTAGTTATAGTAAATCAGAGTGTAGTTATTACACATTTAACGAAACAAATTCAACTTTAAATAAGCTTAAATGAAATTTAAAACCTTACTTATCCAGCTGTGCTTGTTCAAAACAAGTTGTCAATATTGTCTATTGGTTTTCTAATTTTTTGTCTACTATTGTTTACACCTAATGGTTTGTCTACTATTGTTTACACCTAATGGTTTGTCTACTATTGTTTACACCTAATGGTTTGTCTACTATTGTTTACACCTAATGGTTTGTCTACTATTGTTTACACCTAATGGTTTGTCTTCTATTGTTTACACCTAATGGTTTGTCTTCTATTGTTTACACCTAATGGTTTGTCTACTGTTGTTTACACCTAATGATTTGTCTACTATTGTTTACACCTAATGGTTTATCTGCTATTGTTAACACCTAGTGGTTTATCTACTGTTGTTTACACCTAATGGTTTGTCTACTATTGTTTACACCTAATGGTTTGTCTACTGTTGTTTACACCTAATGATTTGTCTACTATTGTTTACACCTAATGGTTTATCTGCTATTGTTAACACCTAGTGGTTTATCTACTATTGTTTACACCAAATGGTTTGTCTACTATTGTTTACAACTAATGGTTTGTCTACTATTGTTTACACATAATGGTTTATCTGCTATTGTTTACACCAAATGGTTTGTCTACTATTGTTTACAACTAATGGTTTGTCTACTATTGTTTACAACTAATGGTTTATCTGCTATTGTTAACACCTAGTGGTTTATCTACTATTGTTTACACCAAATGGTTTGTCTACTATTGTTTACACCTAGTGGTTTATCTACTGTTGTTTACACCTAATGGTTTGTGTACTAGTGTTTACACCTAATGATTTATCTACTATTGTTTACACCTAATGGTTTGTCTTCTATTGTTTACACCTAGTGGTTTATCTACTATTGTTTACACCTCATGATTATCTACTATTGTTTACACCTAATGGTTTGTCTTCTATTGTTTACACCTAGTGGTTTATCTACTATTGTTTACACCTAATGCTTTGTCTACTATTGTTTACACCTAATGCTTTGTTTAATATTGCTTACACCTATTTTTTTCTACTATTGTTTACACCTAATGGTTTGTCTACTATTGTTTTCACCTAATGGTTTATCTGCTATTGTTAACACCTAGTGGTTTATCTACTATTGTTTACACCAAATGGTTTGTCTACTATTGTTTACACCTAATGCTTTGTTTAATATTGCTTACACCTATTTTTTCTACTATTGTTTACACCTAATGGTATGTTTAATATTGCTTACACCTAATGGTTTGTCTACTATTGTTTGCACCTAATGGTTTGTCTACTATTGTTTTCACCTAATGGTTTGTCTACTATTGTTTACACCTAATGGTTTGCCTACTATTGTTTACACCTAATGCTTTGTCTACTATTGTTTACACCTAATGATTTGTCTACTATTGTTTACACCTAATGGTTTATCTGCTATTGTTAACACCTATTTTTTTCTACTATTGTTTACACCTAATGGTTTGTTTAATATTGCTTACACCTAATGGTTTGTCTACTATTGTTTACACCTAATGGTTTGCCTACTATTGTTTACACCCAATTGTTCGAATCCAACACATAAACATTACGTAGTGAATGATTAAACTAGGGCTATCAGAAACGGGTTATGCTTTCCAAGTAGGACAAAATTAATGTATGGAAAATAACAAAGGCAATAAGGGAGTTATAGATCTTGTACACTGCTCTCCTACTTGTCAAGATCTACCTACCCAGGAAGTTTCATGTTCATATCTCTTACAGTTTTAGTGAAATGGTCCGGGCAAAATTAAAGTATGAAAACTAACAAAAGGCAACAACTCCTAAATAATGCAAACGAGAGTAATGATCGGGTACACTGCACCTCCCCTTGTTGAGATATTTATCTACATCTGAAGTTTTATTAGTGTTACGCTCCGGACAAAATTATGAGAGACTGAGAGACTGATAACTTTTCTATGTATAACAATTTTTCACATCTTCATCAAAAATGATTGAAAGGCCAAGAATAAGTAAGGTGATCTTGTGAAATAGACAGCCTCCATTGCAAGACTTCTTGTCATGTCATGTTGTATGAGAGTTTAATAGACAGCCTCCGTTGTAAGACTTCTTGTCGTGTCATGTTGTATGAGAGTTTAAGTCGGAATGGTTGTCCGTTCCTGAACGATAAAGTTAAAGACCAAGCCACTGACCATCAAGTGAAGAAATAAAAATGTTCGTATAAAATTATGTTGAGATGACCTTCAAAGACAAGTAAGTTAGCATATGACCTTTCCACGAAGGGCCAAAAGTCTCCAACATCCAACATGGCCGCCAGACGAAAATTATCCTTCACGTCTTTCCTTACAAAAACTGATAACAAGCTATGACGGTCAAAATCCAATAAGGTCGCCTGTCAACCATTTTACTTTTCGCATCAGACCCAATATAAATCTTCTACAGAAATAGCGATAACGATCTTCTTACAGTAAAACTTCAAGATGGTCGCCTATCAACCATTTTCTTTGTCGTATCAATCCCAAAATGAGGCAATGCACAGCTAGTGACAAAGGGGAATATACATGTAAATACGAAATTTGAGAATTATCAATTCAGCAAAAAATAGCGATAACAATCTATTATTGCCAAAAGCAAAGACGGCCGCCTGTCGATCATCCTGCTTTTCCAATATGTTCCAAATTTGTCTATACACAACTAGGGAACAAGGAAAACTAACGTACGAAATTTGAAATAGCGATAACAAGAATTGTTTAAGGACAGACGATCAACAGACGGGCGATGGACAAAGAGCGATTTGGTTAGCCCTGAAGACAAAACCATAAGTCTGTATTCCTTGATCCTGGTGTGAAATCCTTATTTTACGATTATATAGAACAGACACGTCATTGTACCTGCAGATAAGACATTATTGTCTGGCTCTCCTGTATAGAATTCTAAATCATAATGAGCTATTAATTTGTAGGTTTTTAATCTTCAATTGCTTGCTTGATTGCTGACCTTTAGCACACAGATATTATAGCTTTTTTTCGGAAGTAACAAAAATCTTCAAAGTGCATGTAGATTTCTTCTGCACATTAACCGATTTTTATAACACTAACTTTGCAATATTTTAAGAGAAAGGTAAAATGATAGACTTATAAGTCCTCAAGATTTGCCATTACCTGCATGCAACGTATTAATTCATGAGAATAGTACTTGTCGCTGTTCTAAATGTATCTATGTGTGAAAATTATGAATTTATTCAAGTATGGGGCTGCTGCGCCTACCCGTCTAACTTTCGAGTTTTCTTTCGATCACTTTGAATTGCTTTAGTTGCCACCTAGACATCAAAATCTAGGTCCTTAGCATCACTGACGAGTCCTAGAAGGACGAAACAGCTGTGAGATGCAGTTTAATTCATTGCTTGGCTCTACTGTACCTAACTCTAAATTATCAAAAGGTGCTATTCACTTGTGTGTCTTTCGTACACTCTTTTTTATCTTTAAGCTCTGGCTTCTATGATCTGTAAGGTCATTTGGGTGGGTTTTTCAGATTGTCGGCGACTCTTTCAACCAAATACATATTACATGTCCCTCATTTTGAAGTAATTAGCATATTTCCTGGGCAGAACATCTTTAAACCCTGTGGAAGTTATAGCTGATAAGGAGTTATACATACCTCGTGACATTATGCCCTAATGGCATATGGTTCTATATATAACTGTTCATGTTCTGGAAACTGATTTTCTAAATCTGAACTTGCATGTGTTCTCACCCTTTTTTGGTTTCTGAAATCAATCTAGGGTGTACAGCTAAAATTATGTTACTTTAGGAGTTACATCTATTTGACCTGACTATCAAAACGTCATTTGATCTTCAGTCTTGCTCATCAATAAAACAAATACATATTTGCAGATTGTCATTTGAAGTTGTCCATCTTGGATACCCTTGATGTCTCACCTGTCGGTTTTTTTGGTTTCCCTGGTTCTTGTCATTCACTTTATTAGGCTTAGTATCAACTTAATTCATACTGTTTTTCTATCATTTCTGAGGACTCCTTAGTTCTTGTGTTTGACCTTCCATTTTTATTTAATGTCTTCTCACGTCATGCTTGTTGACATCCTACAGTTTCAGGGTCTCTTCAGCTCCTTTTTTTCTCTTTCTGTACCTTTTGATATCTCCGTAGTTCCTTGGAATATTGCACAAAGAATTTTCAAACTCTCACTATTTTTGCAGCTCACACATACAAAATTGTATCTTCACCTGAGATTAATCACTATTGTTTTTTATTGTACATGTATATTGTCAACAACAAGGAAAACAACATTTGTTATCAAATATTTATCTAATATGTAATCATGATTATGATACAATAAAAAACTTATATAAAAATGTATAAATCACATTAAATCAAAGAAACAAGACCCTGATTAAATGATACATATCAGTGTCACATATTAGCTTGTATTTCATACATCCTCTTTTGTACCATGTGTTATGAATTAACACATCCTCATCACCAGCCTCATACTATACCTTTCTCCCCCACAAACAGGTTACACTTTAAAGAAGGTTAACTGTTGATTATGACTATAAATCAGAAAGAGATCAATTCTTGTCATTTCTTATTCTCAGTTAAAAATTAGAAAATATATGTAAGGTAAAAATGGCAAACCTGCATCTGATCAGGTGTAGATCTTTGTGACATTACTCTGAGGTATTCTCAAGATATGACATTTCTCAAGAAACTGACATCCACATAAAAGAATTGTCAATACTTCATAAGTTATATGAATATTTAGGTACGAAAACTTAAACCTAATGAAAATTCATCAGAGATTTAAATATATTTCAATTTATAGTAAAGTGACAAATGTTGGTGCTGTCTATGATACAGCTTGACTGAAATGACATATCAACTTGAACTTTACCTGAAACTGGGCGATCACATCTGTAAGGGTTGTATATTGTGGTTTGCCTGTGCTCCAAGTTTTAAAACTGACTTGCTAGTAATCAATATAATAATTAAAGGTGAATATGACAGGTTATCTTGGTGAGACAGTGATTATACAGTGTAAATGAAGATGAAAACATGTAGTCCATTATTATTCTGGTAATTCCTTAAGTATTTGTCTGCAAGGTTTACAAAACATATCAACATTATGCAAAAGCAACTTTTTGATGAGAAAACATGATGCATCTCTTGAATCTTGAATTAATATAAACTGTTAAACCATTTCATTCACCATTCAAAACATATACATATTCAATCCATGTTTCAAGTTCTGAAAACATAATTAGTTTTTTAATCAATCACAACTGAAAGAGTGAACTTGTGTGGAAAGATGTACACCACCTCCCACCAGACACAATCAGTGAATTAACAGATGTTGTGGTTACAGGCTGCAACACACTGATAGAGAAACTTAAATTACTTAATGATAGGTGAAGACTTCGTTCCTAGTCGCTTGATGAGCCTGGTTAAAACTGACCGTGGTTTGGATAGGAAGACATGAACCAGCTTATCCATGGTCAGTTATATCTACCGGTAATTAGGAATATGAAGGTTAAGGCTACTGAGTGCTGAATCTGAGGATCAGAAAACATTCATCTGTGATCCAGTTTGTTAAGTAGTGGATGACTTATGGTTGTAGTATGCGAGGAGAGAAAACATGCACCAGCTCATCCCAGCCACAGTCAGCAATCTGTCCAGGAATATGGAGATTGAAGTCTAGGCCATAAACAAATTCTGTATGGTGTTCTATCACCTCCAGGGCAGTAGGGGCAGTCATGTCCCAAATCCTGAATAAACGATGTGCAGTATAGAGATTAAGTAAGACCCTCATTTAGAAAAAAAACAAGCAAATTAACAATACTCCTACACTTCTCTCACTTTGACAGTCAAAATTATAGGTGCTTTTGGTAAGAAATGTGAACATCTGTAAGCAGATATGTATCTGGTCAAGATATTGTTTAGAATTCTTTTCCTAAGTGAGTCTTCTAGTATAGTAACAAAAGTATATTTATCATCCAGTGACTTTGACAAGCACCCCAACTACAATTATGTGTCTACTGGTATAGTATACTTAGGATTTTATAAAATTTCCAATCTTACAGCTGACTGCTAAGTTTCAATTCTATTATCAGCAGCACAAGAAACTAACCTGGTTGTGAAATCATAAGAGCAGGAAGCCAGGATGTTTCCAGCATGAGGAGAAGCCTACAAATGTAAATCATAATGATATCACTTACTGTTTATCATGTAAACCGATCAAATCAGAAGTTATAATTTGATTCCTTCTATTTATCAACAACTTTTTCATGTGCAGCATCACAAACATAATTCCTTGTAATATTTCTCAGCAAGCAAATCATATTGCAAAACTGTAAACCCCAAATATTCTGCAAAGTTGTATTCTGTAAGAAAATCGAAAACTGTATCTTGTGACATAACTACATTTTAAAGGTTAATAATGATATTTTGAAGTACATATTAAATCCTTCGATGAAAGTCCTGGACAATACTGAAAACAATTACAAATGTATGTATAATCATTTTATGGTAACGGTTAAAACATCAAAAGGATTTACTTATGTAAAAGCTCCAGCTTTATAAGGTATTCTCTTGTTCAATCAATTTGCTTGACGAACAACTTACAAATCTGATTTCCTCTAACTTAAATAGATCCTATCACATATGAATATACCTTGACTCTCCTCACAGCCAACTGATGTCCCTGGAGTTGGTTGACTGGAGTATGAGGATTTCTCATGTCCCACACACGTATGGTACCATCCACAGCTCCACTGAACACCATATTCTGTAATATAAATGAGTAAATGAGTATAAAAATTCTACACACAGTTCCAGAAAAATCTAGCTACCCAATATATTTATCTTATGAGTCAGCTGACAGCCTCTATCTTATGGAATGATTCTTATGTCAAAGTAATGAGCTAGTGGCCAGCCTGGGGTCGTGTGAAATATTTCCAAAATCTTCCTACTTTGGGTTGGAATATTCTAGTTCTTTTTAACTAAGTATGATTTCCATTCTGTCTTACCCACAACAGGAAAGTCTGTGCTTTTTCCCATAGTAAGATTACCTTGTCTTGCCCTAGGGTTAAAACAAGCTACATGTGCTTTTTACATGTTCTGAAAACAATTTAAGTGGCGTCACTGATGTGACCCAGAAGTGGAACTACCTTTATGAGTTCACACACATACACTAGTTAGTCTGCTTCTGAAATCTTGTGTTATCCTCAAAACTGAAAATCCTGTGTTATCATCAAGATTAGATTAAAAATCATCTTAATCGACAAGTTATTATCAAAATATATATGTGAAATATCAAGAGTCAGATTAAATCAATGTGTGAAGCATTTGAGACACAGGCCCTGTCACTATGCATAGGCCATCCACATATTTTGTTAACGTACAAAACACTTTGTCTTGCATTTGGACGAGGAAAACACAAAAAGAGATGAAAATCAATTCACCCCCTTTAGGGTAAGATAAGGGGATCTTAACCTTTGGGGAAAATTATTAAGCTGTCAAACACAAGGCTTAATTATCTTCCCTATCGGGTTATCCCACAATCTCACCCTAAAGTGAATGAAAAATTCCATTAATCTTCTCTTTTGTTGAAATATAACACTCACTTTCAGTTACTAGCAGATTAATACAAAAGCTGCAGCTATATGATGATAACCTTCAATGATCTGTAAGTCAGTATACATACAATGTATATTCACCCTTAAATAGTCTCTAATATTTTCACATACCTGATCATATTTACACCAATCACAGCTGAGTACCTCTGCTTCATGAGCAGGAATGACTGTCTGAGCAAACTGGGGTTTCCTGACATCCCATACACACAGTGTCTGATCACCTTTCAAAATTGGAATAGAGGAGACAACTCTTACTATACAAGAGACCAAACTATTACACAACATTACCATTTTGTTCTTCATCAATGAACATATAGAGAATGCATTACATGTTGTGAGGCAGTAACACCATTTGATCATGTGACCATTATTGTGATATTGTCAATATCGTTTTATCAACACTTGATTTTTCTGTTCAGAAAATGATACAACTTCCATTAGGAGTGTGAATTAACTAAATAATGCATAATTTTTCTGTTCAACAGTAAAGATATCTTGGAACATTTTTTGGGGTTTGGTAATGTTAACAGAATAGATGTTATCATATCAATTTAACACAACCAATTGAAATTGAGTGATGTTTCAATGACTACACTGTCACCTTCATCAGACAAATGAACGATGTAAAGTATATTTGCATTGTGGTACAGTGTAAGAGATGATAATGAAATCCCAGGACCTGTCTCCTTAAGCATTTCTTTAAGTAGAGAGATAGTGTGTAAGATGGTAAGAACATTCTATTAAGAACAGGTAAATTTGTTAACATCTCAACTGTTGATGAAGTTGATTTGCCTATGCTTTGAAAATGTAAATGTACTTAATGAATCTTTTATAAGACTGTGTAATGGTTTGCCTGAGGTTGTGTTTGTGTAATGCTCTTTAAACTGAACTATCACAGCCTCAGAGTTGGTCACATGACACGATATATAATTCCAAAATGTTGGTTAAGATTCGAAGTGGAAATACTTTAATGATGACTTTGATAACATTCCAAACGTTACCATTGTTCTGATAAAAAAGTGGTGAGAATGAAAGAGGCAGAGAACTGTTCAAAACAACATATATTATGTGTAATGCAAAAATGGAAAATAAAAAGCATGACTCCAAACAAAAAACCATTGTATACAATTAGTATTTATATTCACTTACCTGATGCTGAAACAAAGCACCCTGGGATGTGTGGTGACCATCTCACAGAGTAGACCATTGACCTATGACCACTGAAGGTGGTTAGAGAATTTGGCTGCGAGATGTCCCACTGTAATAAATATAAAACACATAATCCATTGAAATATGTCCTATTGTAATAAATACTGATCTATTTACAAAACACAGAATTTTCTGAGAGAAATCCTACTGTACCAAGGGCAGTCAGAGATGGGTTAGGCTCCCCAAATGCCACAGACAAATAGTAAGTATGAAAAATAAAAAAAGGCAAAACTCCTATATTATACATAATAGAGTTATGGTTCTTGTACACTGCACTTCTCCTCATCAAGATCTGTCTACCTGTAAAGTTTTATGTTAACGCCTCTTATAGTTTTTGTGCTATGCACCAGACAAAATTATGACAAACAGACGAATGAATGGATGAATGGATAGCAACTATATGCTCTCCCTTCGAGAAGCATAATAAATATTAATTTATCTATAAAACAGAGAATTTGCTGAGAGAAGTCCTACTGTAATAAATGCTTCCCTATTTATATAAAAGAAAGAACTTGCTGCAAGATGTCCAATTGTAACAGTGCATTTACTGAGAATTGTCCTATTGTTATTAATATCAATCAATTTTTAAGCATAAAATTTGCCAAGAAATATCTTACTGTAATAAATATAGACACAAGTTAACTACACTACCAAGAGTTATGTATTTGGATGAAACAAAAGATTCTAGATCTACTTTGTCACCATAACACAATAAGATTAATCCTTGTTTAAACAACAGAAATGGCTTAAATGTGAAGTCTCATGAAATATCTCAAAGTATAGCATATTCTGAAAATAAGTGTTCATACTACTGATTTCCATTAGAAATTGAATTCATAGAAGACAAAATCTGTTCAATGATCCCAAAAGAATGGCCATCATGTTTGATAACTTTTATTGCTGGTGGTGTAAAAAAGAAGCTTTATTACAAACCAGTTTGATCAGACTGTCCCAGGACCCACTGATCACAAACTTCTCACTCCTTGTCTGACTCCAATGCACAGAATAGGCCTGGAATACATGTTATAGTCTCTTAGTCTCAATAGCTCACAACATATCAAAAACTTATAAGCTCTACACAATCACTTGGTATAGAATATAGAGCACCCTGTGCCTGCTTCATTTTGGGAAAAAACAGCATGGAAAATATTTCTACTTTTAATAAGAGGAATTTTACAGTTTTTGGCAGTATATAAAGTACAAAACTAGATGTGTCTGTGGAACATGAATATTCTTCAGAGAAGTATTGATTATTTTCATGGTACTGGCTAATTTGTGTGAAGTACCAATTGACCTAGGCTGATACCTGAACATAATTAACAGATCACTTGCTGCAAACAATACAACTACTGTACATATCAAATATCAGTTACATATCCCCATCCAACTCTCAGAAATTAAGGATAAACTGAGAGTTTCTTGAATCTATGGACCATGACTTTAAAAAAAATAAGTTGTTGATTGGAATAAAATATTATCATGCCCTGTATCTTCATTACTCAACACCATCTCAGTACAAATACATGTATCTCCTTCTAAAACAAAAACCTAAACAGAACTGTATAACAGAATGAAGAATTGACAGCTAGGGATATGGTCATATTTGTAAATACCACTGGAATTTCATGGTAGGGCAGAAGAAACAAAACACATGGGCCCTTTACTTCATTATCATCATGAAGTAACATCAACTGTTATATAGCAACATTTCTACAGTAATCCTTCAATTAGTTACACTAAAACTATTTTTACATACCTCTTTGGTGTGTTCTTTTAATGCCTTTAGAGGACCCTAAATAAAAACAGTTATCATGATACTTATCAATCTGACAAATACATCACCAGAATTCATATACTTCAGGATAAAATTTGTGCCTACATGTTAACTGCCACACAGACAATTCATGTAATTCCATCAACACTTCATTTCAATGCTACAGACTTACTGAAAATACTACAATATAAATAGTATGGGAAATTCACTTGCTTACAATATTACTCTTTCTTATATTTTTTTTCCTTTGGTGGGGGGTACAAGACAGGTAGAACTTAATTGTCAATTTTCAGTTTTATCTCTCTGTGTTCATATCCATCATCACCTGAGGATGGGACACATCCCACAATAAGACACTGCCATCACCAGCTGCTGTCACCAACACATTGTCATTGTCTTCTGACCAGGTAACCTCAAACAAACCATCATTCCACTGGTATATCCGCAAAGGGACAAGGCCATTTGGAGTTGTATCAAGAACAAACAGTGTCCCACATCCTGAATTTGAATAGAAAAACAGAAAATCAAAGATAGAATGATGTAAAGAAGAAGTATATGCATAATTATGATACGTGTCATTTCATTCTACATTAGTGTAAAGCCTCAATGTATTGACTGAATGGAGGAAATTTCTCTTTAGTTCAATCAGTTGAGTGTCAAGAAGTGCATGGCTTTGGAATAGATAATGACTTCTGCAACACTGGTGCCCATATACATGTGGAGACTCAGGTCTCACTGGCCTGCTCCTTTTGCTTATAGTGAAGGATCATGTGCTAACATTGATGAACTATCATCTCTAAGGGTCAATTCAAGCTATGGTCATAATGTTGGTGGGAAATGGTCAGTTATCAATTATCTGGCTCAGTATTAATATGAGGAGATACAGAAAGACCATTGGGCACTTGGAAAAAATGTCTTGCGGTAATTGCAAAGGCCTGTTTTTATGACAGATCATAACTTACAGATAAGTTAATTCAGCAGATGCCACCAGACATTGGATCACAAAAATCAATCGATAATATAAAAAGCAAATGTAAACGTCTGCAAGTACAACATTAGTTTTCAAACTTGGGACTTGTATCATTCTATACAACATTTTACCTGCTAGACCGTAATATTGAGATGTAGCACATGCTAGACGCTGTGGGTAATAAGGTGAGAATTCAACAGAGTAGCCATGTCGAGATTTTGTTTGAAAAGATACTTTCATAGTTTGAGTTACATTCACATGTTGCCCCAATATCGAGTAAGCCTAGCAGACAGCTTCGTCCCGTTTTCATGTCAAATTGACCTTTAACCCCCATTATCTGTCAAAAATGGGAACAGTGTTAATTACGTCATTAATTAATAATTGATATTAGTATTTTGTAATAGCTACATATTTATTTGTAAAGGAGTAAAAATAGCAACCACGGCACACATTCTCATTTAATTTTAAAAACAATAATGAGTTATTTAGATGTGATTTTTTTTTCTGTCTTTACGACAACCGGAAAGCAAATACTGAATCGTGCCCGCCATTATTCGTGTTTACTTCAGACGATGTTGTGAAATATACAAGACTTCCATGCCATAGTTTAAGATCTCATATGATATGGCATGTGACAGTTTATACTTCCTGCCTTCTGAAATTGCCCGTCTGGTTTTAGGTTTGTGTTGAACTATTGCCTTTTATGAAGCACATTACCATTTTTCCATCCACCGAAGTTCGATGTTGACAATACGATTCTGTGGATGGGGATGCTAATTTGTTGTCCATACTGAAGTTGTCTTCTATTGTCGCATGTACGATTCCTTTCATGTTGATTTTCATATTTATCTTTTTTGTTTTGTTTTCAGGATATCTACAAGCGGAAGGCTACAGCAAAACGTACAAGAACTTTATAAAAGAATGTCCTCATCTAAGCGAATACGTCAGTTTCATGAAAAAGGGCCAGTATTACCCATTGACAATCAATGGCTTGGCTCTTCTACAGATCCTGGAAGAATACGGTTCTCTAAGAGTGGCAGGTACATGCAAAAACTTTGGACGAAATGGCCGTAATAGTAAACGTAAAACCCGTTAAATAAGTGAAATAAATAAAAAAAATGATGTTAACATATCAATGTTAAAAAATGTTGATTTAAGTTATTAAAAATTTGAAAGACATGAAACAAAACAAAGATCCATTATTAACAGCTTATATCACGGAAACTCTGTTTTTGTGCGATTAGTTTGATTAGTATCAGTTTTTAGCCAACTATCATCAGATGGTCCGTCCATAAACAAAATTTTGTTATCCCTTTTTCTTGAGAATTTCTGGATGGATCTTTCTCAATTTTTTTATATGTTGGTTCCCCTTGGTACCTTGTTGTGCCTGTTTGACTTGGAGGCTGATCAGAAAGTCAAAATGGCTGACAGGAAGCCGTCTTAAGTTTTTACAGTGAAAATCTGTAATAAGTATTTTCTTGAAAAGCAGTGGATGGATCTCTCTCAAATTTCATATGAAGGCTCCCCTTGGTCCCTAGTATTTACATCAAATTTAAAATTAATAATAACAAATACAGCTAACAGATATAGATATATTTTTTTGTATGATATAAGTAGGACTTTTCATTCAACAAACTGTGCAGGAACCTTAGTGACCTTTCACAAGTCATTAGATCAATAAATTCTATTATAGTTTTTTTGTTTTGTTTTTCCATATCATTTCCACTTGTAGATGTAGAAAGTACGGGTCACCTTACTAGCACCTGTTGGTGGCAGTTTTCATTTAGTCTAGTAGTAAAGTGTACATCTGCTTTCAGACTTAGAGGTCATCAATTTTATCTTTTGACCAGTCACTTCAAGGGTACAAGCTCTAGGAGACTGAGATACTTCTTTGGATATTTATTAAGAACTTGCAATTTGGTTGTGGGTGTATTCGGGGATTAAGACTTGTGAATGAGGGAGTTGTATATAAACTTTAGAGTACAGGTCACCTTTAGAGCCTGACCAGCTAATGAAAATTTCCATTTATTCAAGCAGTAGGATGTCTGGTTAGAGATCAGGAGGTTGCTAGTGCAAACCCCAGTAGGGGAAGTGTGTTTCTTAGTACTCCTTCCAATTACATATTAACATACATTCAGTCTTCGTAGAAGGCGCTGGACTGTCAGTCATGTCTGGCAAAATTCCCTTCGGTCCGGCACTTTTGTCAAGTCGTCATTCCGGTTTTCTGGGCACAAGTATCTATTTTCGCAGGCGTTTTTCATACGAAAGAGTCGAGTTTCTGGTATAATAAATTCGTAATGTATCAACTTTTTTGATTGGTTAAGCAATACCAGCCTATCCAATTGATTTGCTTGTATCATAGCTGATTTGTAAATGCTGTTAGCAAAGTTCCCGGACGAAAACAGGAAGAAAATTTCAATTATTGGAAACTTTTTCAATACATTTTAGCTTTTGAATGTCATGTAATGTATTGACATATTGTCATTAAATTAATAATAATAATGATGACTCTGAATGTCTAGACTTTCAAGATGAAACAATGAACTTTGAGACTATTATGACATGTCTAAGGAAATGGGGATCTACTGAAATATGCAATATCACTATGCAAGCAGAAATGTATCTTTGTATGATTGTGTTGCTTGAATAAAGTTAAATATGCTTGTTTTTTTGGAGAGTATTGGTGTTTCTTTTTCGGTCTGGCAGATTTGTTTCTGGTCTGGCAGTCTGGATGACTGGCAATTTTTCATCCCTTTCGCGAAGACTATACATTTAATGTTAAAAGGTCTGTTCGTGTATGTGAGTGTGTTTGTTGATTGTTTATTATTCATGTATATAATTACAAATGACATTTCAGAGTCTGCCAGTTTGAAATTTTTATCTGGCCAAATATCATTTAATGGTGTTTGTCAGACAAAATTTATAGAGATTATTACTTGACAGCATTGTTCAATCAGTATACTATCATCACTGAAAAACTAGCTCTATTATTTCAAAATTATATATTTCAGAATCTACCAGAAAGTTGACTCCTAACCCAGCTCTAAATTCTCTGTGGTGCCAGTTTGATTCAGTTGTGGACAATATAAAAAAGCGTGTGGCTTCTAATTCAAATTTGGCATACAAAGGAAATGAGAAACAAGGGTCAAGGACAAGAATGCAGATGGCACAAAGACGGCGTAATCAGATCAAAACCTCCGTGATCAATGTTGATCCTGATGTTATTCAGCCCCACAACTCTAGAACAACTGTCACACCATTGGTGATTACACAGAAAAACCCTGTGGACAAAGATGAATCAGATTACAGCATGTCACAATCAGCTTCACCATCAGACGTTGGAGAAGGTGGTGATGGTAATGATTCTGATGTGTATGAAATGTCAGTGGATGAAACTAGTGGAACTGAAAAAACAGAAATACCTACCTCACAATCAGCTACAGGAATTCCAAGTGACTGCAACCATAATAGTGCTTTACTAAGTCCCAGACCAGCTAATCAGAATTCAGTTGATAAGAACAATCCATCAGAATGCTCAACAATCAATACTATAACAGGTTTGTAACTGATTTTGAAAAAGTAGGTTATGTAAAAACTGATTACAACTTTGTGACAGGAAAAAAATGGAGGAATTGTTTTCAATAGTTTTTTTTTACAATATTTTGTTTTTGTGAGTTTTTTTCCAAAACTATGCTGTGCTGTTAGAAACTTAAATTTCCTGCTCATTAATCTGGAAGTATCATGATCACTTCCTTTGCAACAGGTTAATTTCTAAGTACATGATAGATGATGTGGAATGTTTTAAACAGTTACGAAAGTCTTTATTCAAAAGCAATGTTATTCAAAGGTTGTCTAGACCTATTGATACTTTGAGTACATAGGGGATACAGATTTGTGTGATATTTTTACATGACTTCTGGATCCACAGAATCAACTGCTACAGATACTCCTGTGGTATTAACATCCCCAGCCATGATGGCATGTACAACAGAAGCTGCAAGTGTAGGAAGGGAAATTACTGATATTCCAGGCTCCCCAGCAGCTTCCATTGGCATTGTGCCATCCCTTAAAACCCCAGTCAAACATAATACCACTCTGGAGCCTGCGATGGAGAAGTCACCAAGAAGGAAGAGGTAGATCAGACATGTATAATACAGCACAACAGTTACCCTTGATATATGTAAGATAGAACTGACATCATTATCAGGCTCATCTCTCCAGTTCTTGCTAAAAAGATAATTCCCTGTTTAATACAGGAATGTGCTGCATTCTTACAATCTTATTAATTGTCGTCCACTTTTTTATCAGAAACAACTGAAGGACCACTGAAGTACATGTCAGTAATGTAATACCTACCAATGATTTATTTGAAGATCTAGGTTATGAACAGCATTAACCTTTGTTTCTTTTTTAATCAGACCACCTAAGAGGAAACCACAGGGTGATCACCGTAGACAAAATAAATCTGACACCAGTGCTACACAAGGTGTTAGTAGCCAAAATGAAAGTAGTAATAGCACAGATGGGTCAGCTCTGGAAAACTCCTTCCCTGTAAGTTTTATGTCCATCTAAAACCGCTTTTACATGTTTCGTATTTAACTGAAAACTGGTTCTCTGTAAGTGTCATGTCATTGTGACAACTCTTTTACCTTTTAACCTTGCAGGAAAGGATTACATAAAATATATAGTGTGTTGTAATTAATACCTTCTCCATGCTCCTTGTAATGAAGATGTGCTAGCTCATGTTATCAAAAATGAAAAGGAATGAAAATGACAGATTTTTTTCATACAGATAGAATTACCTGATATTATGTGAGCACATTTGAAAACTTAGCTGAAGTGAATACTAGTAATACAGATCTTTTATTTCACAGCAAATACTAGAGCACATCATGAATGACCCATTGCTTCCTCACAAACTGGCAGAGAATATCAACAAAAGTTTACACCCAGAGGTGATCCCAGACCCTGGTACTCCAGCTGCCCTGCCTCCTGTGGACGTGGTTCCTGAGAGTCCCTTCATGGGTCGCTCCCTAGAGGACATACTGGACCAACAGGTATCACAGCCGTGATGGACTGTAGTTAGAGCCATACTCGCTTTCTCTAGTCCTATATAAAGATTATTATACTTCCAGAAAGAAATACAAAAAGTGGTAAATACACTTAGGTATAAAGAAGAACTGATAGCAGTTTTCTGCAGCATATGTCTGCTTCTGTTACACCTATAGATTTCAGACTTTTATATATCGATTTGTCTTGAAGAGTCGTTTTCGTGTCAGAAAATATCAACATTTTCAACTGTATAACATCCTATTGTACTGCATGCAATGTCTTATAAACCCGTGCACATATTTAAGTTGTGGTATTGGAACATTTTACACTTGATTAGATTTAAGTAGACATCTGCCAAGGTGAAAGGGTCAGTCACTCTCGACTACTCTGGAAATAAAATGTTTATATACTAGATACATTGGATGTCATGAGCTCCTAATCAGAATAGTTTGTAGTTATATCCTGATCCCAGAATATCTATTTCTACACCTGATAGGACTTTGGTAGTTATCAGTCAAAGTTAAAGGGCTATAGGTTACACTTGACCTCATTTTAAGCTAAAAGCGTATGTATATGATATTTCATGAACACCACAACAAATTTACTAATTTTTACCCTTAGTCTATCAGTATTGGAATACTAACGAAAATTCAAGTAATATATGGTTAAGTTAATGGTTCACAGGGTGATATATCCATCAAATAGACAAACATTTCAAAATGAGAAGCATGTTAACACAATATCTAGTGACCTTCCAAACAGATCTAGTTAATAGTAAGTGCTTTATGGTTTTATATGTGGAAATTCAAAGTGGTTAAAAACCCAACAATACCAACAAATAGCAGTATGATAGCCTCGAAAAGCTGATCAATGGAACTTTTATTGTAGCACAGAATGAGAGCTTTCAGTCCATGGATTTAACTGATCAAGATGAGATCACATCAGCTTTCTTGTTTACCTGATTTCCGTTGTAAAGCGATGAAACAAATTGTACATGCTTATAAGAAGTGCCTTTTTTTAAAGTAATTTATACCACAGTGTCTGAAAAAGATTGGTTGTCATTTGTCAAGGTTAAAGGATCAGATATCACCTGATTTTTATTCTCTTTTTGTAGGAAACACAAATGCCAGCATCTTCCATCAATGGAATTATTGAGCTGACAGAAAAAGATCCCAATTTTGAGTGGCTGTTCTCTGCAGGCGTCAGCTATCGTAAGCAAATATTTGGGTCATCTGCAGGGAGAAAGAAACACTATTTTGTGAATTTAGCTTTCATTCAGACATGCTATTATCGAAATAGACATTTTTAAACTTATCTGAAACAAGTTTCATTTATGTAATTACTTTTATTGAACTAGTCTTGTATAAAAAAAACTTTGCAACAGAAATTTTTCAATTGCACATTTTGTGATTATTTATGAATCAATTGTCAATGATTTTACACTCTTTAGCGTTTGATTTACAATTATGCTCAAATACATGATTAATTTCTCCATTCCATTATGAAAATAATTGATAAGATGTGACTATATTTAGTAATGAAAATCTATTTTCTGAATTTAGTACATCCTTGCTCTTTCGTAGGAAATAAAAGTACATAGAGAGTAGCATTGTCAGGTTTACCATCTGCCATTTTGAGTTGTCTGTATTTTGTATATTTGTGACTGGATTTTCAAACACATACTGAACACATACAAGAATGAATTGGTTATTAGCAATCTTATATCCTCAGTCCATCTTAAACTAACTATTAATATGTAGGTCAAACAACGGATCAATAAGATTACTTCTTGGGTAGGTTTAATTACAAAGTACGAAAGTTTGATGATGCAAAGTCAAAAATTTATTAAACACTTCGATTAATGACATTTTCAAAAAATCATTGATGATTCCTTTTTTTTTCTTTTACTTTCCATCATTGGCCCACCACTAGCAATATGTCAAAAGGCACATTTCCTTACAGGTCCAATACAACAAAATTACCTACAATTACCATAATTAGTAGAAGATCATAGACTTGCTTTATTCAAGTAGTTATGACAAGAGTAAATTTATAGTGCCAGCCACGTCACAAATGTATGTTACTAGAAAATAACATAATTGGGTGTTGTATGTTCATCCAGACATTGTTCAGTGCAAATATAAATCACAACGAAATGAAGTACAAATGTATTAGTGCCCAGTGTACCTACATGTATAACATAATGTAGATTCTAGTGGAATGCTTAATCAAAATAAAATACTACACAGTTATAATAACCTTTAAAGTTTGTTTCTTGATAATAGTTCAATATTTATTACTCACACTGCAGCCATTTCTAAGTTCTAAATCAAAGTTAAAGAGGAGGCCTTTCGCTCTCTATGGTAAACTGTTCTTTCTGTGATTTGCCACTGCTAATAACCATTAATGAATTATTTGTTCGTGGGGTTGAAATTACAAAAGAAACTCCGTTTAAATAAAGTGATTATTTTTTTTGACAGATTAAGTTTAGTATGTCTAAAATAACAGTTTTAACACGCTCGCTTTCTTTGAATCGTGTATCAAAAGATTTTGACCATGGAACTGTTTATTTTACGGACTATTGAGGGAGTAGGGCTTCTAAATGATTCAAAATCATATTTTCCAGTCTATAGATATATGTTTGAAAAAAAATAGATCTATAGATTTCTCATAACACCTTTTTGATACAGGAGAGTCAGTCTTGTCATAGTTAAATTGTTTAAATTACGTGTACAATACCACCAGATGAGATTGATCACCCATGTCAAAAAGTTATAATAATATGTAAGGAGTTACATGTTTTCAGAATGATTTTTTTTTTTTTTTTGTTCCTTTTAATAAATTTTGTGTTTCTCTTTTCAGTTGATGAGGCTACTCATGACCGTGATTTTACAGACAACAAGAATCGTAGTAATGCACTTCAGACTTCAACCAGAAATAATACAAAACCAATACAATCTGGTTCCTCGGGTATAGTAACTTTTCTACTTTGTCAGATGGATATTCAGCACAAGTTACCATTTTATGTAATGTGTTTATGAAAAAATTCACTTGCAATCAAACAAATTTTATGCCTCATTTTAACATATAATCAAATTAAGATGTTTGATTTATGAAAATTCTATGAAGATCTAGCTAAGCTGATTCACAAACATCAACTTGACCATGATTGAGGTTTATTAGCCAAACACTGGGAAATGTCTTTGTGTATTTTTAGATGGACAAGAAATAGGCCAAACAAAGCTTTAGAATTCTGATCCCAGCAGAAATCATAAATGATGTGTATTTACCCAATACCTGGCATAAATCTATGATCCGGTCAGTGACTGAATTCCTGATCGGCCTATGTGCTATATTTAGACGATCTAATTCTATATTGGCAGGAGGTATTTTTGCTACTTTAGCATGTCTAAAATGACCTCAGGAAAGGTATTTTAATGCCAACAGTAGTTTAAAAAGTCCTATGAATTCTCAAAAGGTACAAAACAGATAGTGATTTGCCCTCTTGTGTAGAATGTCCTGTTAAGACTTTTGTGTGTTTGTATTATCACAACTTGTGAGAACTGTATCTTATGTACCATGTGCTGGGCATTATCATATACACTGATCTTCTAGGTAGAGATACGTTGCAATCATTATAGATCAAATGCCTATTTAGCACACCATTGTCACATGTCTATTTTTTTAGATAGATCAAAAAACTGAAATGGTTGACAGTTGGCCATCTTTGATGTTGACAATTCAATATTTTGTTACAGTGGTTTCTTGATAAGTGCTGGATGGATTACTTTTAAATTTCATATGTAGATTCCCTTCAGTCATGAAGTTGTCACCGTTCATTGCTGATTTTAGGGATAGTGTAAAAAGGCATCTCTCATTTTCCAATTTTATTTGTCAATTTCCTTTGTGTAATGATGTTGCCTTCTGTCATTGCACCAAATGATTAAAGAGCAAATAAATGGAAAGAAAAGAAGAGATCACACTTGCATATAACCAGTATAGATTAAACAAACATTGGTTACAAGATCCCCTGGGGATCTCCTGTTACTGCATGTGTTTTTGATAGGTAAAGATGCCAAAGACAACATCTGGCTGGTTTGATCAGCTTTCATCAAGGATGTTGACAAGTTTCCACAATTTGACATGTTGTCATTAGAACAAATTTTAAAAATAAACATTCAAATATAATATGCAAAATTAATTTGTTTTTGTAAAATTTACCTAAGTGTCATTGAAAATGTGCTTTCTTACATTTAAGGCTGTAATGAAGATTCAGCTCCAGAAGCCGGTATGTCCTTTGGTGGAGTGACATCAGAAAATATACCATTTACACACTCTCCAAGTTTTATGCCAATATCAGAAGACCCTGAAAGCAACCTGTTTAAACTTCCTGCTGAACCAAATTTTGCTAATACTTCAACAAGTAATGTGGAGTCTTTTCACAACCTTACTCAATGTACTACTAATGCAGTGCAGTTTCCAGATACAAGCAGTATAAATTCCTCATCCTTACAGCAGCAATCTCTGACTGATCTTGGTGTTGCAGCCCAAGTGACTGCTAATGACATTGCTTCTCAGCAATTTGCTACCTCAGCTGTACAAAGTGTGACTATGTGTGTGACAGCTCAGCCATTGGCAAGTGTTGTCACATCCCATCAACCAATCACATCTAGACCTTCGTCCCAGCCGTTCACAACAGCAGTGACATCTGTAAAGCCAATTACCTCATCTTTCTCATCTGATATTAGTGAAGGAAGAGTTGAATCAACAGTAACCTCCCCTCACGGTTTTCCTGTGCTGTCTCTCAGGAGCTCTGTCTGTGATGATGACCTGCCTGATCCGTTATCATCATTTACTATACAATCTCCAGTCAAGCCATGTGTGTCGAGTCAGTGTCACACCAGTGAAGGAACAAGTAGTGTTTCATCGGCCTCTTACTCATTGTTTGTGAGTGGCATGAATGGAGGACAACACAGCAGTACTCCCACCACTGTCAGGTCCAATACTCTTGCTCTGCCATGTATGACTAGCATTGCCACTAGTGTAGACTTCACCAAACTTTCTTCCATTGCTCAAACTACTTCCCAAATGGTGTTTTCCAGGCCCAATTCCTCTGTTCAGTCTATATCTCCAAGATCTTTGCCAACCATCAACATTCGTAGCCTTATGGACAAACTGGAAGCTAAAGCCAAAGGAGAGGTATGTAGTGGATATGAGTTTCTGTTCTCAGTATGTCACCAAGACATAATTTCTTATTTGTAGATGTAGAATTATTTTACTTTAGAGAACAAAATTTGCATGACATGTTATAATTTTTAAACATTAATTGGTTGTACGATTTTAATTCTTTGTACAAAACATATACATTTTTCAATTTTCTCATCTCTGGATAGGGTAACATTTTGATTTGTGAAGATGAAAATATGCAAGTCAAAATTTGATGTTCTGAAAGAATTTTTATAGTACAATCAGGGCAGTATATTGGTATGTTTCTGCAAATGTGTAGTCACACAAAAACAATCCACAATTCATATCCTTTGAAGATGGTCAGTTTTATGTACTGATAACAGAAAATCTCTCATCATAATGAGGGAATTAGTACAAGCTGTACATAAAAGAAATGTAAGAAATCAAGGAACAGGATTGTCTATATATTTTACTGAAGTACACTTATCTCTTTATTACAGATAGTAGAGATAGACCTACAGCCTAACCCAGCACCTAAACCAAGCACCAAATGTCGAGGTAGGAAGAAAAATCCTCTGCCAAAAAAGTCTTCCCCAAAACGTGTCCAGCCTAAACCGTTAAGTCCTTCAGGTGGAGGCAGTTGGTCATCAGGTAAGTAAAAAGTATCATATGGATAGTATATTGACTTTAAATCATTATGTGAACATCTGAACTGGTAGTTACCTAATGACCTGGTGACATTGATGTGTGACTTTTAAAATGACATTTTTTATTTAAAAGCATTTCAGGAGAATCAGAAAGAATATCACTTAACACAGTATTATGTGGGTGAAGTTTCAGATTCTTTATCAAAATTGACCTCATGCACTTGTTTTCTCTTGTAGAATTGTCAGCTTTAGTGAAGATTGCATCTCCTGAAAAATCCTCATCACAGGTCACACAGAGGTCAATCATAAAAAGGTCATGTGTTACAAGGTCAAGTAGCATAAAGACAACAGATGTGAACAGTGATCAGACAGTTCTACAGACAAGGCCCAGGAAAACTAAAACAAAGAAAGCAAATGAAACATTGATGGCAGTTTTGTCACCAAGTGGTAGCTCTGTGCACCATGTACCTGTTCTGGAGGTTAACTCCCTCAGTGAGGTCCCTGATGCTAAGGATTTAGTTCCCATGGGAGATCTTGTTCCAACTCATTTACCTGTGCTGTCTTCATCACATGTAACCACGGCAATAACACAAAATTCAGTGACGTCCCAGAGTAACATGTCTTCATCCCCTGTGATAGTTACATCATCATGTTTACCATTTGTACAGACAGATGCCCCTCAGACTCCCCCAACTACAACCATTCACACAGAATTTCCTAGTATGCCAGACATATGTGGTGGTCAGCCTTCTCTACCTGTACCAGCTAATACCTGTGACAACTCTAAAGACACCCAACTAGATCATGCTTCTGTCCTCAACGATGCGTACTCTGCAGATCGTGACTTTCTGGAGTCCCCCAACCCTGATGCTGCTGGTTGTAGTGGTGATGGGTCTGCTGATCATGGAATGGAGACAGGCATGAAGTCACTTAATGAGGATCTCAATCGTTATTGTGGAATTCCTATTGACAAGTTAACACAAAAAGATATACATGTTCGACCACTTGACTTTGGTTCAGCAATACCTAACGTAAGTCTGACAGAGGTTTCTCCTCCAATCAGACAGCCATCTTTTGGTCGCGGTAAGAAAACACCAGCCAGAAGCAAGAAGGTAATTGGTAGGCCTCCAGAGAGAAGATCAACACGTGGAAAGTTAACTACTGGTGAGAACATCAACAATTCTCCAACAGCATCAAGAGAAATAAAACCACCTTCACCACAGAATGTAATGACTCCAACTAAAACAAGTATTTCCAACGATCAGTTTGACTCCTGCCCAGAGTTGACAGAAGATCCTTCATCACAACAAAAATTTGACTCTCCGCTACAGAGTAAGACATTAAAGGGAAAATCTTCCAACACTCCATCATGCCAAGCCAAAAATACCCTGACGGTAACACCATGTCGAGCCAGGGATCTTTGCAATGAGCCAGAATTCACACCCTTTCAAGACATTGACTATAGTCCAGCAGGTACACCCAGTCAGCTAACAATCTGTACCCCAACTCGCTCAGAGGAAACAGCAACACAGGGAGAGTCATCTCAACGACAAATTTTAACTCTAGGAAATGTGGGTGCGTTAAGTCTGCAGGAAGTTGGAAAATCGCCGTCTTATTATGATGATATGGTAAATCAAGACTGTGTTTCATCTCACCAAGTCCCTTTATTATTTAATTCTGAGCAAAACAGCCATAATCCACCAACTGGGTCAAATGAGAATATCTCGGAACTTAAAGACCATTGTGAAAATGTGGCTAAAGAAATTCAAGAGAAAATTCAAAATTCTCAATCAGTCTTGGGTAGTGCACAGGAAGTAGCAGAATCAGAGATCAGTAGTGCTGTGTTTTCAATCCAAGATACTGTCACTTCTAGAGAAATTAGTAACACAATGGAAAATAGAGATACGATAGTCCCAGTCATCAAACCAAGTTCATCAATCCCTGAGTACACCCCTTCACAAGTCACTCATGAAGAAGATTCTGGAGGCCATCAATCTAACAATGATAATCGACAATTACAGACCCAGATTGACCATCAATCTGACGCTTATAATCAACGATCACAGTCGCTGACTGACCATCAATCTGACGCTTATAATCAGCAATCACACTCGCTGACTGACCATCATTCTAACACTGATAATCAGCAACCCCAGTCACAGACTGACCATCAATCTAACACTGATAATCAGCAACCCCAGTCACAGACTGACCATCAATCTAACACTGATAATCAGCAATTACAGTCCCAAACTGAGGTCAAGGACAAGAATGAGGAGTCAGTTTCAAAAGACGCAATCTGTGATCGCCAGTCAGGTATCAGTATTCAGAAAGTAACTAATTCTAATCTCAACACATACAATACAATAAACACACATCAAGCAGCAGATGTTTCAAACCAACTAGACCATCAGGATGTCAACCAATCACATGGCCATGTTATAAATCAATCACAAGACATTGACCAATCACAAGACTACCAAAATGTTGAAAGTGTTTCACATTCAAAAGGAAGTTCAACTAATATATTAGAAGATGCTTTGAAGCAGGTGTTTTCTACTCCAGATTCACAGCAGACTGTTTTCAGTCCAGCACCTGTTGTGCCTGGTACCCAAGGAACACAGTTCGTGATTAGCTCACCTGCAAATAGACAGCCTGCATCTTGTAAAGGGCCAACTCCCCAAGTGCTCAGTTCTACAACACCTGCAGTTAGTCAGAATGCATTAATTGTTTATTCTCCAGCTCCTGTCCAAACAAGGTTGCCCATAGTTGCCTCAACTCCGATAGTTCACTCAGCAGCTTCAGTGTCAACTCACTTTGTTAAATCACCTGCTCCCGTCATGACACCAGCAACATTCATAGTTACATCTCCGACTTATCCAGTGATAGTCAATTCACCTGCACCAATCCTCAGTCAGTCCCAATTTGTTCTGAATTCACCTGTCACTCCTTTGATGGTGAAGTCCCCAGCGACACCATTGATAGTCCATTCCCCTGCTACTCCACAAATAGTCCACTCACCTGCTGCAGTGATGTCTACTGCCCCATACAAAAGTGTGTGTTCTCCTGCTCAACACAAAGTTCCCTCGAGAGCTCCCACACCTCAAATGGAGCCTGCAGACTTCATTCCTGATCGATCTGGCACAATCTACGTAACACCAAATGTGCTGGCTCAGATGTCTTGTGAGAAAGGTTTAGTTGTGCAGCAAGAGAGAGCTGTCACTACCACCTCCCTTATGCCTTGTCCAGGTACTAGTTCTGCTGTAGACAATGGTGATGTTATTCAACGGCCAGAAGTAGATCAATCGCCCCATGGGCAGTGTCAGTCTGACCAAGATATCTTTACAGAGACAACTGATGATGAAGTGGCTGAACCTACTCCAGGACCATCAAAACTGCCCACCATCACAGAGGTCTCCCACGATATTGCCAAGATTCCTTCCCTTTTTGATACCATGGATGGACACAACCAAGTTGTAACACAGTCAGAGAACACATCACCTCACTACAGTAAAGACAGACACAGTCCGAGGTACTTTTCTGCACTGAGCAATAGTAATGACACTCCTGTATGTGATCCATCCTCTACAGAAGATACTTGTCCAAGTAGTACAAACACTGCAGATTTACAGAATGATCCTGATGATTCTACAAAAGTTGTTACCGTGAATAAAGACTTCCAGCAGAGTGACAGTGATGAAGACATAGATATATTAGGGGACTGGGACCATGATTTGTCAGCAGGAGAGAGAGTTATGGTTACAGAACACACGATCAGCCATGAAAGTACTCCTTTGTCAAGTGATTCTAACAGTCCATCTAAAAAGTCAGCCTGGCAAGCTGGCTTTGCCACAAAACCTTCTTCAACCACTTCAGCTTTCATCAGGAAAATTCTAGAGCAGAAAAGTACAAGACAGAATTTGGAAAAGAAAAGTGCCGAATGTGCAGAAAAAGTTTCTTTAAAGACACAAACTACTACTCAAAAAATAACCAAAAACTCTGAAACCTCTGTCACTGTGTCGCCAGAGAACAGGCCTGGAGTTGGCAATCAAAAAGAGAAAGCTCCACGACGAGTACAAGTAATAACCTTAAGTAAAGAAGTCTCCAAGGGCAGTAAAGACTCTCAAAATGCTCTGCAGAGTGCTCGAGGACCATTCAAACATCCTCAAGAATTTACCCCAAGGAAAATATCACATACAAGTAGCAAACTTAGTAGCCATGTGAAACATTTAGTTGGAAAAGATATGGGTTCAGGTGGTGAACATTCTGTGGAGAAAGATGTGTCGTCACACCAACACTATGTCACACCACCCAAAAAGAGGTTCACAGCATCACTTAAAAGTGGAGATGGACTATACTTTGTGTCTGAAACACAAGGCAGTCTATCAACTGATAAACATTCACATGAGAAAGACCGTCACAATTTTAGTGCTAAGACATCACATTCAGAACCAAGTCCACGAAGAAATAGAAAATCAACTATGATCCCAAGAAAAGACTTGGATGTTATTCACAAAACTTCAACTAGCCTTCATAGACCAGATGAAAGTCTGACTCGTGCTCCTTATAATCACAACACTTCAGAAAGGACATCGCAAAGTCCTCATAGAAAATCTTCAGAGAAGACATTACAAAGTCATTCTCACAGAAAATCTTCACAGAAGACATCGCAAAGCCATTCTCGTCATAAAACTTCAGATAGGATGTCACAGAGCCCATCTCATCACAAAACAAAGGAAAGGTCATCACCAAGTCCATCTCCCCATAGAACTAATTTTATCAAGAGCACAGAAAGTCCTTCAAGATATAGTAGTCAAAATCTGGAGAGAGTTAATGCTAGTCCAGGTATTAGACGGAAAGTTTTTGAAACCAGTGTGGATAAAGAAAGACTTGGGAAAAGTAAAGAAAAGACTGCTCATGAATGTGTAGATTATGAGAAAAGTATGGAGAGAGACCGCACAAGTTCCTCTCTAGAGCGATCTAATTCTTCATCAGCGTTTTGTAGGACACCTGCTACAGACATGACCCAAAGTCAACCATCTCCAAAACGAGGTCACAAACGTAGAGAGAGCAGCTGCCCAGTCGGGGAGGTAAGTTATATTGATGGTCTCTCAAAAGGGACATACAGGTTCTCTGACAGCAATTAAGTTATGGGTTTATTTGAATCCTGCACTGTTTGAAGATATTAATGGCTATATCAATTTTAATACATTCACAGTGCCATTTCATAAAATCTCCTTATAATGTACTTTTAAACAGAATTGTTATGTTTTACTCATTTTGTTCAAGTGATGAATACTTAAAATAGCATGGTCAGTTTACACAAAATCTGAATGATTACATAACATTAATGATACCATTTCATTTGAAACTGTGCTTTACACAAGAATTATGGTGAGCTAGCTCAAGCTTATGTAATCAGTATTGATAAGGGTTGGTAGAATGTCACAGTAATTGTCTTTTTAATTTTAGAATTTATTGAGTCTTCAGAATACTTGTTATCAATATGATGTGCTTTATATTTGACCTCTACTATATTTGAAATGTAAGCATGCCTGTAAATCAATCACAAATGGTTTAATTTCAGGTCAAATCAAAACGTACCAAAAAGGTAAGTCCAGATTTCTGATATTCAATAGTGCCTAACAAACACAAGAATGGGTAATCAAGATTGAATATTTTGAGTGGAAACATTTGAGATTTTATATACTTGTCAAATTTTGATGGACATCATATAAAATACCAGTTACATCCTTCCATATGTCAACAGTTTGATAAAATTTTGCTGTGTTCATGTTAGATTTGTGTTTGAATGAAATATGGCTTCTGTCAGCTAGCTGTTGGAACATGCATTTAACTTGGTAGAGCAGTGGATTATCATGCCAAAGGTTCCATTGCTGTCAGGGCTCTTGGCAGGAATGTGTCTTTTCCTGTTCTTTCATAGAATAGATATTTAATAAAGCTTTTTAATTTGCCACAAATCAGAAAAAATCTTATTTTCTTGGTTTTCAGAGCAACAAGCCTATAGATTTAACCAAATTGGATGTGGACAGATTTCTGAACAGTGATGTCTACATCAAGGGTATCTTGGAAAAGTGATGCGGATTCAGTAGTTCCAATACTATTTAAAAGTGATAAAGATGTTCAGCATAGCAACAACACCTGAGTGACAGGACCTTGACATATGAGCAGCACAGCTTGTCATTGGACATTTGTGTTTCCTTGTACGCTGAGTTATAACAAGGTTAGCAGGCCATGGATAACATTGTTTCCTTGTGGTGCATCAATGTCTAGGTTAGGATTATGTTGTTATCTGACATTGTAAAAATCTTGAAAAATGTGATAATTATTTCTTGTTATAAGTTTTATGTAATCTATCTCTAACTACAACTTTCTGTAGTTAGATAAGCGACAGAGTGTTGTATCCTTTGGTGTGTGTGGATGTGTTATTCTGGTTGATGTGAGTAGCACAATGATTTATTAGGAAAGGTTTTACATACACAAATTTTTAGTAATATGAGGTATGATGAAGCTAAGTAAAATAAAAGATTTTGATGTTTAGGCTTGCCTGGGCATTCCACTCTTCTAATTAATTTTTTCATCATGAACTGATTTTTGTACTGGTACTGAATGCCTTTGTGGTTTGTTGGAGAGTACAAGTACATTTTTTTTATCGGTGTAAATTCTTTGCAAGTTAACTTTTATTTTTATCATTTCAGGACAAAATTTATCATTTATTACATAATAACGCCATTAATCGTTCCTGGATTTGATATTGTAAAAAAAATGTAAATAATATTACCAAAACAGAGACACTGACTTTACTACTAAATTTAATATCGTTTTTACCTGGAAATTGATTTCTCAAGACTGTAACCTGTAATCCACTCACATAACCTTTCCTGAATTGATGATTTCAGGATTTTTAAGAAGATATTTGCTTGAATTTATTAAGAAATGTAGTTGATAATTTAATTGTTTTATGGGTAAATATTTCATTTCCATACCTAGGTATGTAAACTTATTTATTTAATCTCCATTTTTTTTATTTTTTTTTTTTTTTTTCTGTTTGTAAACATTTCTCAGGAAGACATCTGTTTGTGGCTTTAACCATGAAGTTGGCGAATTGAGGTCTACTTAATACTTTCACTTTCACTTCCATTCATCACTGCTGGATATATTAATTATGGCACCCATTCAAATCAAAGGGAGGTAAATCGTATTTAAGGACTGGTTTTTGTTTTTAAATGAAATGACTGAAACTTAAATGGATACCTGTTTTACTCACAGTTTTGTAGTTTTGCTTTATGGTCACTTCGTTCATCCAAAAATAAAATAGAAGCAAAGGATTCGGTGAAACTTTGTCTTGTAGAAATTCAAACCAACAAAAGATAAGTATTACAAGAAAGCTTATGATAACATTTGTATACCTCCATTCTGTTAAGGGGGTATATTATTGTTATAATTGTGTAAAGCTTGTGTCCTGGATATATTTTGAACCCTACAACAGATCTTTCTTGTATGCACACCTAGCATCACACCCATCATTTTCTCTACCTGATTTGGTAGTTATAATCAGTATCAAAATTCACTTCACTTCACCACTGTTGAAATAAAAGCTTGTTACAAGATATCTCATGAACTTTTATATAGAAGCAGTCCATATATTTACAATAGCATCACACCATGAGGTTCTACATGACTAGATTTTCGACTTCATTGGTTAAGGTTTTAGGGTGAAAGGTCACACTTTACCATTTTCAAAATAAAGATACATGTATAAAATATAAACCCTTCAACAGATTTTGTTAAAAATGAAAAGATCAGTGATTTAGGGGATATGTTTATGTAAGCCTCAGCTGACCCTGTATGTATTATTGTAGGAAAAAATTCCTTTCATTACCCCCAAAAATAAAAAATTAATAGTGAAAGCACATTTTTATTCAGAAAATTTAGGAAGGTGACACTGTCTTGGAGGTTGGAAATTATAGCAAAAAATAACCTTTAATTGCAAAAGATTGTAGATCAAATAGCTGTGAATGAAGATTTTCCCATGAAAATAAAATTTCAGGAGAATACAATTCTTGCATGAAAAAGATGTTGATGAATGGTAATGATTTCATTTAATCACCATTTATACTGTGTTTATTGCTTGATCTCTTCCTGAGTTTTGATCTCCCTGAATGTGAAGCAGTTGGGGTGTATTATATCATCATTTGTTTGGCAAACACATTATCATAAGAAAAACTTCATACAGACTGACCACATACAATATTTGCTGTTACCAATTCTTGTTATAAAATTTATCAGTTTGATTGGTAGAATAGAGGAACAGTTTTTAGTACATGTGGAACTCACTTGACATTTCAAATTACTTTCTGAAAATTACCAGTCTGAAATTCTTGTGAATCCATGTGATAGATTTTGAGAAAGAACAGATTCAATTCATGTACCGTTTTCACTAGATATCAGTATCCATAGTAATCTTAATCAATTCTTACAAATGCATGCATGTAAATCAATAGATAGCAATGATATTTTATTTCTCTTCTAAGATATATAGATTTATCTTATTACCTCCCTTTATAGGAATTGAAAATGTGTGAAGCATTCGTCAGTTGTGTATGTGGTGACTTGGGTTGAATGTCAGTTATAAACATTAGTCAAATCAAAAATAAGTAACATATGAATATCTTGTTTAAAAGAGAAAATTCAGAAAATATGTGAAAAAATTGAAAATTTGAAATGTCATTCGTTAGTCATATATTTAGTAAGTTGTGGGTTTCATATGAAGTTTCAGAACCAATTTGTCTCGAGCCTTGCAATTAACAAATTCTGGTAATGGATTTTTTTGTCACCAGAGAAAAGCAGATGTGATCAAATTAGAAATTTGTGTGCCACCTCTAAATACCAGAGAAACAATTTAGGAGTAACACTTTAAATTGTCCAAAATGTTACAATTAGAATTACAAAAACACAGTACAGGAATGATGTATATGTCTACTCTTTACGGTTTATGATATTTTAGCTATGATTTGGGTGGAGTGTTGTTCCTACACGTAGTATTTATAAATGTTCAAAGATTAATGATAGAAAAAATAAAGAAATTATTGGATATATAATCACTGTTTTATCATGGCTAAAATTAAATTAATGTATTATGATCCAATGTTTCTCTTTCTTCTTCTCGCTACTCACTACTCCAGTTTTACATTTTTGTACGGACATCAATAAAACTAGTTAGTAGCATGCTTAGATGAATGGCTATGTTTGTTGAAATGAATTACCTCAGGTTTTATTCAATGTCACTGTTAGGAAGCAAATGATCAAACAATTTAAAAAGAAAAAGACTTAGAAATATGATGTACTTTTTAGAAGAATTAATTTGACTTACTTTCAAAAAGAGTACCGCAAAGCGGAACAAAATACGACGGTGAATATCCAAAACAGCAAAGGGGCATAACTCTTATTGAAATTGTCTATTCAAAACCCCGTTCAGGAAAACACAATTTCATATCATGGTGATTAAGCCTACCAAGTTTCATGAAGTTCGGCTGAAAAATGTAAGAGGAGACCTCCGGACAAATAAAAGTTTACGACGGACGGACAGCGCCATACCATAATATGTCCGTCTTTCAACAGGCGTATAAAAACACAGATTTCAGATAAATTCAACCTTGATCCACTTATTAGGTTACAATTGAAAAACAGGAAGCTTGTTTTCAACTTTGAGACAATGTATGGTGTCGTTTAGTTATGACCTTATGACAGTGTTATTTTTTCAACCAATAGTATCTTTCATGGATTTGTTGCATGGACAGCGATCTTCATCCTTGTACAGAAGGTTGACTACTCAGAAGGAGGTGTGCCAAGTGCCTGAAATGTATGACAGAATTGATGAATTATAATGATCCAATCATGACAAGGTTCAGTTACGTACACTGATGATGCTACCGTACTGTAATTAGCATCAATTTGTGTTCCAGTTGTCTTTTCCTTACCTGTGAGAAATATTTACCTTTCCCTTAAAAATAACAAGATCATCCTGTGAAGTATGTGAAAAATAGGCATCTAATATGACAGAACAGGTATGTGAGAAATACAGTATATTGTATACTAACTTGAAAGGTAATTTTCAATCATAATGCTTGAAATATTTCATTGGAAAGATTAATGCAGATTAACAAATCAGAAATGAAAAAAAAAATCTCACACAATTCATTGAAAAAAATAATCACTTTAATGAAATTCAATATTCGTATCACAATTTAACATTTACAACTGTATATGATAATGTACAAATAAACATAACAGAATGTAAATTTTCAATTAAATCTAAGTCTTCTTTATCTTGTATTTTAAAAGTAAGTGCATTTAAAGAAAATACTTTGTACCCAACAACATTGGTCTAACTCTCTCTACAACACGCAATATACTGACTTTTAGTTTATCTTTACAGTAACGAGATACCCTGAGGAGTATACATTACACCGAGATACAGTACCCAAAACATGTATGTAATGTATGTACCAAGTAGGAGCACCTTACACTCTGACTAAACCAGGTGTATTAAAGATATACATAGCAATACAGAGAGATATATACATACATTGTATCTATTCTTCACTTAGATATGTACACAGCAACCTACATTGTATATATTCTTTACTTAGATATACACCAACCTATATTAAATGTATGAACCTATACACATTGATAAAGCAAATTATACATTACTTATGAATATGAGCCGAGATACAGTGCTTCTATGTATATACTCTAACAATGTTAAAGGTTAACATTGCTAATTGGTTTTTACAGTCACCTTGTACAAAGTGAGCTATACCTGATGAAACCATGAGTTTATCAATAGATATTGTGACTGAAATGTGAATAGTAGGAAATCCAACAGGTAAAACACAGTGAATGTATTAAAACAATGACATATCATCATTGGTGTATTGATATATAGTGAGATATACATTATCATTGAAGTGTACATATCAAAACAATGAATACATACATTACTTTTACAAATATGTTGATGTGCCAACATATTCCCTGCCATATACAAGCATTTTAATCATAGGAATGTTTAAAAGAATGTGTCATTATAATCTTTTGGGAGATCAAGAAAAAAACACTCAAGATGTGCAAAAATAAAGAAAAAAGCTGCTTCATCTTGTACAGATGAAAGGAATGATATGTCAGTGAATATACATTTTTGAATACTTTTTCTCGTTAAAAAAATAATTTTGCATAAATTTCACATCATTACCCATGCTTTCTTTTAAAAGTTATCACTCAGAAACATGTTATATTACTCACATATATGTGTTATAACTTGTAACTCCTGTTTGAGACTCTTTCAGAAAGGTCTGTCAAAGTCAGACATGTGACTAAACTGTTTAAAGACATAACCAACTCAGTGACATTTACAAAACATAAAGGTAGCACTCATTCTTAGTATATTGGTCGTAGAAAAAGGAAGATGTAATTTTTTGTGAATGTGCAATGTTTTACAAGAGGCCAAAGGGGTCTGTATCACTCACCTGGCTTTGTTTGGCTTTTAATGCTTTATTCAAATGAAGAAAAAGGAATTCTTAAGGTTTATATCTATTTCTCCATTGGGGGTCAGCAAAACCATTTATACAAACATCCTCTACATATTCTTCTGACAAAATTTGGACAAAATCCTGACAGCAGAGAAAAGATTTTAGAATTTGCTTAATTTTCCCTTTTGGGCTCTACCCCTCCTGCCCCAGAGGGTCAAGAGACCTATCATTTATACAAAATTGATTCCTCTTCACCTGAAGAATTTGGTGAAAAACTGCTTTGTGGTTCATTGCTATTAGTATATATATGTTTTTACAGGAAAAGTTGAGAAACAGACGACGGACACTGCCACAGATCACATGACTTTGTGGGCCAAATGAACTAATAAATATGGAATGTAACGGTATATTGCAATACTGTATTCTTAATGGTTATCAAATATAGAATCTCAAATGAATTCATATTCAAGATATATGAAACTTTGTTACAAAAATAAATCTCTTGTGTAAAAGGTTTTTAAAACTATGGATTGATTAATTTCAACATGCTTTGCAGTATATCTTCTTTACTTTACATATAACTTCATATCACTAATGCAATTTAAGAGGAGGGAAAAAAGGGGGAGGAAAAATTATGAGGTAATTTTGGAGCTAGGAAATAAAGACACAACAGATACAGTAACACATCCTTGCACCTGACCCAAAAAACTGTAGGCAGTGTAAAATCTCAAATATATAATACCTTGTGTACTAAATTATACTGATACTATCCCTACTGAACACACTTGATCTCATTACTATTATTTACTTTATTTACAACAAATGAAAAACAAGCTATCAACTCATATGAATCACTCTCGTTGGCCCAGATGGAAGTACACAAGAGGTCTTACTGTGGAAGGAAACCCCCGAGTACCCAGGGAAAACGTGGTCACATCCATTCCACAAATCAAACCCCGGACATCTAGGTGAAAAGCAAATGCATTACCACTGTGCCATCCGACCACCTTGAAGATATTCCAGAGTCCTAAAACTCAGCTATTTTGTGATTCTAATCATACCCATCATGAATCGATCATAACCACGGACTAAGGAGACCCAACATAAAATTTGGTTATGTTGTAATAACTTCTATTCTACAGATCCATCTAGTGTTTCTCAGGAAATTGTGATAACAAATTTCAGCTTTCAAAATTCAATATGACCACCTGTCTGCCTTTTTTTTCGAAAATTGAACATGTGTAACCATGGTTTTCAGCACAAGTGATTCACATGCATACAGGGACTGAGGGAGAATATATGAGAAATCTGAGTAACATTATGACCATCTGTCCACCATTCTGTTTTTTCCATTGATCTAAAAACTGAATATGCACATCTAGAGACCAAATTTGAGAAAGATCCATTAGTATTTTTCAAGAAATAGTGATAACAAGCCTTGTTAAATGACAGACAATGGACAACAGGACGATTAGAACAGCCCTTCATCAGATGTTGATGAGCTAGAAATAAAGTCACTGTCAGGACTGTACCATCTTACTTTTTGTAGCAATGTCTTCTAGTATCCTACTTCAAAACATATAGCTTTTTACAAATGAAAGACATAAAAAGGCTAAAACATATCACACAAGGCTTTAACTAACAGAATAGGCAACAGTAAAAAGATACACATTATAGGGCACTAAGCTACCCCAGCACCACAAATGCTGAACCAATGTCGTGTAATTTTCATTTTGAAGTTCACACAAAGTTGGTTATAAAATAATCATCGAAAAATATAATCATATATTAATTTCAAATTTTACATAAATAGAAATTGCACAAATTTTACCTGAAGATAACTTACGTAATTATGATAATACATCAATCATTGCATGTATTACAGTTTTAATCTTGTTTAAGTCTGCTTTGCTCTTTACCTCTTTGCCATTTGACACTAATTACCAGCACTGCCAAAGCAGCCATTCCAGCCCCAACTGAGGGGGGACCACTGGGGCTAATCTCTAGCAGAACCCCTGACAAAAGAGGGGCTACCATCCTTGCAATGGACATGACACTCTGACTGAGCCCTATCAAAGCCCCAATTTCCTGCTTACTTCCCTTTGATATCAATATACTTGTACCAACTACTCTAAGATTCATTGAAGCAAAGCTGAGAGGAATTAGAAGTAACACATACCACCAAAATGTAGAGATGAATACAAAGAGAACCATTGTTAGTGTCATGAGTATAGCGAGGTGTTTGTATAAACGTTGGTCATTCTGGTAGAGTCTAGATATATGTCCAGCTAGCATACCACACAAGGCAGATATGATACCACTATAGGATATAACATAACCCAAACCTTTTGGAGACACTTCAAACTTCTCCCGTAACATCAACGAAAAATTGCTTCTAAATAAAAGTAAGGATAATCCTAAACAAAATCTCGCTAAAAATAAATCCCAAAAAGCCGACCAGTTCAGTGATTTAAACTGAAAAATTTGTTTTGGGTTAAAATTGAACTCATCAGACCCCAGCTTCTGGAGGGAGGTTGATGATTCATCTCGAACAAGGTCATGCGACTTTGACTTGACATCAGGAAAACAGCACCACACCAACACTGAAGAAGAAAGAATTAAGTGTATGAATACAAGATTTGGACTTATTTTGTAATTCTTTTTAATTCTGATGAAAATCGAAACAATGTCAATTCAATCAACAAGGATAACAAGTGAAAATGAAGAATGCTTTACAAAACAATCAAAAGGCTTTTCCTGGCCGAGTTTTTTATTTGGTCATACTAATGACACATCTGTCAGAAATATCTTCAAATGGAAAGTTAAGAAGAGGAAATGATTATATTTCAACATGTTACATACATGTATTTGTGTTTGATACATACATATGCTTGAGCTATGAAGGTAAGGGTATATTTTATTCTGATACTAAACACCCATATCAGCTATTAGCACTGATTGTTACCAGTATATGTGTTTATGAATATTTTGGTATCTTAATTTTAAGTTTAACTACAATCAAAGTTATGCCGCAGACACAAAATTTTAGCAAAGAACAATTACTCCATAAATAAGAGATTATGTGCCTTTAATCTAATGTAGTGCACATCACCTTCATGTAACTAACATACATGCCAAGTTTCACGATCCTTGTCTGACTTTGTGCAAATGTATGCTCTAAGTGCTAAAACAATAAGGCAGACCAACTATAGGGGCGATATAATGCTCCCCAAAAATGTTCAAGGAGCAAAAACTTCTTAAGGTAAAACTTGAGATGCCTGCATGTGGAACTATACAACATTGTTTTGTGAATAGCTTAAACGATGTTTTTATTTCTTTTGTATTAGCCCTGACTTCATAGAGCCCTATTTATACTTTATACTACAAAACTGGTCTTGAAACCTTATCTAATCACAATGTAGAAACTTCAACTACAGTATAAGATGCATAATAAGTTATCTCCTAAATACCTAAATCATCTTTTGTTGCCTGTATCTGACAAGAGTAATTGTTACGAATTACTTTACAATAATAACTATAGGATTCCTCCTTTCTCACTGTCTCTTACTCTTTTTTTCTACTCTACTCTTTACTGTTGAAATAACTTTGAAAATACAGCTTGATCCAAACCCTCTATCAATTCATTTAAATCCTGTTTAACATCAAATATTCAGTCAAGTCTACTATTTCACCATAAAATTGGAAATCAAAAACTTAATATATTGCATACTAAGCTCTGACAGCAGTGCAGTTCCCTTAATTATGACCTTGTTGAGAATGCACCTTGTAACTGTGGTCATCCTTGTGAGAATGTCGTTCACTATTTTATTGAATATCAATGTTTCTCAAACAAAAAACATATTTTAGTTTAAAATTTCGATAACTGGAACATTGCATTAGATAGAGAAATTCTTTTGTTTGGCAATTCAATTTTCCATGGACCTTAATGTAAACATTTTTAGATCTGTGCAAAATTATATTCAATCAAGCAAGAGATTTTGATGTTAAATTTTAACAGTCATTGTATATTTGTATTGTCATGATTCTAATGTCATTTAAAATGTATATTGGGAGAAGGCGTTGATAAGTTGCAATAACTTGTGCCTAATCCTTTGTCTATCTTTAGCAATAGATATGTTTAAACTAATCTCACTTTTCTTGTGTCATCAATATAAAGATTTCAAGCTAAATCTTAGATCAGTACAAAGTGTATACAAATTTTAAAATCAAGAATTGAAGGATGTACTAAATAGTATGAAAGGAAACAAATATTTCAATCTTTCAAAACAAAACAAAAGTTAGATATGCATTAATATGTTTTTAAACTGAAACTTAATTCTGACAAATCAAACGCACAAAGGTGCAAAATGAGGGGAAGTAATGTTCTGGAAAAAAACCTTCAGTGTGTCAAAATGGCATGGATTCCTCTGCTCTTGTTAAATAATAATTATTAAATAGTATCTCCATCTCTACTGCTAATTTTAAATGATGCTGTCTAGCACTACTCAGCCTGATGATGGCTATGATATGAAATCAAGGACTGCGAGTTTAGAGGGTCACAATTTAATACCCTGTAGCACACAATACTGAAACGTCGGACTATCAACAATAAAGATATCAAGAACAAGACAAATTTCTGTTAGGCTGGATTTCTATCTTGAAACTTGTGAGGCTGTGTCAAGGTGTTATCTGACCAGCTTTATCAGTTGACCTTGAACAGTGATACCTGGACTAAGAAGATGTTAGAAAGAACAATGTGACATACCACCTGGGGTACACTGGGTAGGAATTATACATAGATGCAAGCTAAGTAGTTTCTAGAAAGTATTTGCTACTATGAATAAGATAAGCAAGGGAAAATTGACCTTGACCTCTGTCCAAAGAATGCAAAAGTAGCACACAATAACAAGGTGATCCAGCTCCCAGTCTATGGTGATATGGACCTTAATGGATCATCCTGGGCTATAAAGAGATGACAGAGTACATTCATATATTGCTTAGCTATCAAGCCAGCATCTTGTCTCTGAACATACCTCCATTCAGCATGAAAATGGCCCCACACAAAAATGTGACACTATAGAATCCCCCAGCCATCTCCACGATGTGACCACTGACCACTGGTCCAAGAATGAATCCTATGCTGGATACAGAGTTAAAGTGACCATGGACAGCAGACTGCTTATCCTTTGGTAACATATCAGCAAGCAAGGACTTGGAAATACTCTGGCTGTGTTTAAAGATACCTGATGTCAACAGAAACAAAAACATGTTTAATGCTATCAATATATGCATTCATGTATATATGATACCTTTTATCACCTATGATGTGCCCTGACATACTCTAAGGAACATTTATGTAAATCTGAGTTATGATTAATACACTTCCAGATAGCAAGGTTCATTACGAAAGTGAAAAAGACCAAAGTTCATAATCATCCCTAATCCAGATTTTTTTCCAAAATGTAAAACCACAAAAACTGAGATGCAATTCCTACACTAGAGATATTGTGATTGCATATTAGCTGTCTCATGTTCGGTATAGTATTGAACACTTCCTGAAAATACCCTGTCACTTCTTGCAGTAATGAAATGTTGAAAATGAAACAGCATAATGTGTGCCAATATGATGTAGCTGAGTTCTGTTTGTGTATTTCTTGAAATATTTTCATTACTTAACAATGTAAAAGTTACCAATCTGTCATTGAAAATTGGTAGGAAATGAAGTACCTAATGGAATACGAGCCAGGAAAAGAGCAATTAATGATGTGGAAAATCCCAAAGACATGTAGCCACAGGCAGAGAAAAATAGCGACCACAGGAGACAGTATTTCCTTCCTGACATATCACTCCAACGCCCCTGTCCAATAGATAAATGGCAATCATCATACAGATAAGGTGACTAGTAGATGTAATACAATTACAGACAGATGATGGTTAAATAACACTCAATTATACACTGATGTAAAAACAAGTGTTCTCATACAATTACTCAATTGGAAATGTCGTTATATCAAAAATACAGATATAATAGGAGCTTGGCAAATAAGCAGGTCACTTGTTCTCCATAACAAAGTCCTGTAATGAGCCTTACTTATTCTTTGCCTTTCAATATTTCCCCTCCCCATCAATCAACCCATCCACATCTTGGCTGAAAAGCAACGCTCTTGTTTCTCATTTCCCCTTTCATCCCTCACCTTTCAATCTCTAAATCTTTATATTATCTCTTGCTGTCTACACATGCTTATATCTCAATTCTCTTCCTATTTTCATCATAATATTAATGATCATATCCTGTATTCTCTTGCTAACAAAACTTTACTGTTTGGGAAGGAGACTCGCATTCAATAAATTATTGAAAATTTCATCCATCACATCAGTCCAATGTAAAATGGGCAGCTTCAATATCTTCTTTTTTTTTTCTAGGTTTTCGTTTTCCACATGGAGGTCTATCAATGTTTTTGTACATTCTCTGCCATGTAAAATACACTATGGTTTGTCTCCTCCACCTACACATCCATCCCTATATATATCTATATCACCTTTCCCTATAACCTCTTGTCTCCTGCCAACCCACATACATATCTCTCCTTTCTCCTTCTCCATCATATAAATGAATTTGCCTTTCCTTGCTCCACATAGACATGTGGTATTTATATAGACAGGTGGTAGTTTTATAAACAACCAACAAACATGCACATCTCTCCATTTCCCTTAAGGAACACATCTCTTTTTTTCTCCTATGACCCCATTCACCTTCTGTCTGCCCTTTGTCTTATTCCTTTTTCTCAGTTTTCTTTCTCTTTCATACGTTTCAAAATTTCATCTCCTTCATTTATAATACATGTACATAGAAATATTTTAGAGAACAATTAATAGGAAGACTAACTTACCACTACTGGACTAGAAAAAAGCTGTAGACATCCATACACAGAACCTGTCAATACAGTTATTAGGAATGAGAAAAAATTAAGATAAGATATATACCAAAGCTAAATTATCTTTGTCATGATGTTTGTCACTGTTTTTGTCACAATGAGATGGTCTTACTTTGTTTCCTGACATAAAAATATTAGATCTATCATCCACATGTCAAGTTCTTAAAAACTATTTTTTTCTTTAAAGAATTTAATGTGATCTTGTCCTTTGGCCACAAAATCACATGAAATTTTCCCTTCCTTTAGACAGGGAAATGATATAGAATGAATGAGGGTATTTATACTTTACTACTGATAGTAATTTTACCATTGATAAGGAAAAGCTTTAACTAAAATGATTTCCAGTTCCAATACTTCAATCTTATACTAACCAATAAAACCAGCCATTGTGGGGGAAGCTCCCAGATCTCTAGCATGGTTACTAATCAGGGGGATCACCATGCTCACTCCAAAAAAGTCCTGTCAATAATCAATGTTTTTATTTATATAATTATCCTGAAATCAACGTTTCTACAACAGACACGTGTATAATCTCTGTATACAAAAGGTACAGGCTTAAAGCAGTGTGTTGAACTGCACGTTTTCAAACACAGACATTATAGATTTCAAATCGACAGCTCCAGAGTCTAACACATTTTATAGATATAATTATGGACCATTTTCATAGAGATTTTTATGTAATCTTTGTGATAGAAATGTCACATTCTAGTGATGACAGTGTTTCTTACAATTAGCACCCGTATCTGGAACGTAAAGCAACTCAAGTAAAAAACCAGTCCAGTGAATCTAGTGAACTAGACGTTAGATGTCTACATTCCAGATACAGATGCCTGTATATGGGATATATCAGGAACATTATGTCAATCAGGAGATATTACCGACAGGAATATAAATATCATGAACCCTTTCCCTGGAAAAAATTGTACATGCACCATCAAAGAACCAACCGGATAGATGTTGGGTGAATCAGGGCATCTTATATCACAATTTTAAAGCAACCATTAGGAGTGGCAGCAAACCAACAAATAGTCTGGAATGGAGACCAATTAAGACATGGTCCAGGAAAAATTTAATATCATTATGTAAACAGTGCGCCAGAGAGTATGAACAATTTCACTCTAATCGCTCACCAGAAATCCAGATGTATATATTGCCCATGTTGGATCCGTACATTTTCGCCATGTCATTATCGAAAAAAAATCAGGTTATTTGCTTGCAGGTAGTAAAATGATGTGGTAGTACTCTGTGGTAGACATTTGGTTGTCTACTTTCTTTTTGGGGTAAGGCTGATGTACAGTACTTCCGGTTGGCAAGAGTTACTCCCCTTACCACTAGACCAAAAATTAAAGAGTCTTATCCATATTTAATAAAATTATGTATTACTTACTTGGAAAACACTCAATGCTGCTTTTTTCTTCAAAACAAATACTAAGAGTATGCTGAGAGACCTGCTGGCTTCAAAACATTCAAAAACATTTTGACATTGAGGAAATTTAGGCAGGCTCTCCATATGTCTGCTGAACACTGATTCCTTTTGTGATTAACAAGGACATATAATATAAGGATAGGAGACAAGTAGAGGCGTCTCTGGTGTTAGATTTTGTGTTTGTTCACAGAGTAGTGAAGTTATCAATATTTTCTCTCCTAACAGTTGTTATCAACCTGTGACCCATCCACTTATATGCTGTAGTTTGTGTGGTCCCAGTACATTATTCAGCTTTCTACTGCTGCTTATTTTGAAAACAGAAGTTAAGTCCTTTTGTAGAAAAAGTTGTTTGCAAATATGGCCAGGCTAGTTAACTCAATTTCTTACTATCAAAGAGCTGAAAATCTTCCATATCGGATGGGAGCCAGTCAACAGTAATCTGGCTATTTTAACACCAGCTAATGCGTTATATCTGGCTTTGATGGGTCTTTCTTACATGTATCCCTTTAAATAGTATGTATTGTTGTGTGTCCAACTTTATAGTATACAGATAGCTTGATAGGTGCATCTTGTAGCAGTGATGTAGCACATTATGTTTACCACATTAGGTATATACTGTACATTTTCAACATCCAGAATGACCTATATTCGAATTCTACAGTCTTTTAAGGCCGATTCTGATTCTATTGTCTTTGCAAGTGTAAAAGCACTTGGTTTGACTTAAACTGATGATTTTTGTATCTTGTACTTTTACTAGATCTAATAAGCAATTTAAGAAATATAACATTTTTCAACATTCAAAAATCACATTCTGCCAAAAAAGAAATCAAACATTTTGGTTTTATAAAATTTTATTTTTAACACAATTTATCAAATAATATGTAACAAATGTTTTTCTGTTAGCCGCTCAGTTACCTTAGCCACCTCACTAAACCAACAATAACAACAGAACTAGGTTAAACATGATCTGGATTGTTCCAACATAAATGTCAATCTGAAGATGTCACATTAATTGATATTGCTTTAAATCCCAATCTTATATTAAGGTTTGTAGATTTCTGCAGTATTTGGTCAATCTTCAGTGAGCAGTCTCATCATTATAACTATAACCTTGAGTTCAGAGCTGGGATATCCTATACAAAATTAAGATAGAATTATGTTAACCACTATCAGTTCAAATGTACATAATGTTAAATGGCAATTTTTTTCTGAATACACTGTCATTCTAAAATGTAAAACCACGATATTTTTTGTAAAAAGTAAAAAAAAAAGACAAGAAAAAAAAGAAAAATAAAAGGAACTCTTCATTCCACATTGTATAAAGCTAGAAACAAAAATATATCATTTAAAATTTTTCAATTGACTTGCTAAAATAATCACAGCTTTCAAAAAAGTAAAAAGAAAAAACAGCCCTGAGGTTATAAACATATTAAAAAGTGAACAAGTAAATTTGCTATTTCATATTACAAATACAGGTACATCCACAAGGAAATCTTACTTGATCGCGATTGTAACATAAGCAATTGATATAAATTTCCCAATATCGAAGAAGTACTTCAATCCCTGCCAAATCATTTGTTTCTAAAAAAAAATGGAGAAAAGTCCTTGAACTTACTAGGTTTGACCATTGCTGTACTCAAACTGACAATGTTCTCCTAAAAATATCGCCTCAACAATACAACCATAAGATCAGAAATGATTCAAACCCTTTGTATGACACAGTTGTTACAGCTACTGGAAATAAACACGTATCTCTGAGAGTTTACAAAATATCAATGTAAATATATCAATGTAGCCATGATTGAATAATTGAAATTCTTGTTCAATCTGAGAATATCCATCCCTCTGGAACTAGCATTTTCTACTTTTTTACACTCTAATTTGTGGAAAAAACACCTATTAAAATATATGTATGCCAGTTTATTTTCTCTACTCCATCAAGTTATCATAGCTTATAAAGTCAAAATGATGATTGTAATAGATTAGAAATAGAAAACAGAATACATCTGACAAAGCATAATTTTACTCATGGTGAAGTTTTGATTTTGACTGTATGGTGACAATTGTAACTGCTACAGCTGCCATCACAGACCCTAAGAGGGGAGGACCAGATGAACTGAATTCCAGGGACATACCAGAGAGAAGAGGAGACAGCATACGCGCCACAGACATGACAGTGTCCCCTAGGCCCATCACTGCTCCTACTCTCTCAGCACCACCACGTGCAGCCAGCAGACTGGCACTAGCCACACGAAGATTTGTTGTCACAAAACTGAGCAGCGCAAGCACAAGAATGTACATCCAGAAGTCAAAGACCAAGGTAAGCGCTACTAAAGTCACAAGCAACCCACATATCATGTGCTGATAGAGTCTGCTGTTGTCTTGGTACTGACCCGCTATCCAACCTGATACAAAACCACACAATGCTGACACAACAGCTGTATAGGAGGTCAAGTAGCTCATTTGTTGTTTTGTTGTCCCAAATCTGTCCCTGAAAATCATGTCAGAGTTACTACGGAATAACATCACAGAAAATCCAGAAAAGAAATTCACAAGGAAAATATCGCAGAGGTTTTTCCAGTTAAGATGTTTAAATGAGGTAACAATGTTTGTTAGACTGTTATACTGTGAAGACTTGTTCTTGATTGTTGATACAGATGGTAGAAGGCACCACATTAGCACTGAAAACATAAACAAACATATATTTAATGAAACTTACCATAACTCAAGAAGGTGAAGAAACAAAACAAACAAAAAACAATAAAAATCTAATACTTCTGAGGAAATGATTAAATAAGTCTAAAATAAAGGACATTATTATCCCATAATATCTGTACATCTACTAAGAAGAGAAAGAATTCCAATGTACAGGTTGTATGGAAGTGAAGTTCATTTTATCGATATGATAAGATATAATTAGACCTATAGATCCTTATGATAATAGTGACCTTGATGACCTTTGACAGTTTTCTTACATTGACCACATGCATTCCCTAAATTCTGTACTCAATTCTATACATTGTGAATGGAAATGATAGACATTCAGCAAATTACCGAAGTCAACTAGTCTGGTAAGTTTAACAAATATGTGTATTATACAAGTATCACGGCCTTGTTTCACTACAATTCCAAAACTCTGATTTTACCTTGATAAGTCACTGTAAAAGTTAAAGAGAACTCTTCTGTTGATGGAGATTCCTTAAAGTCACATGTATTCTGCCCCGACAGAAAATTGTTTGTAATTCGCTCTCTTGACATTAATGTGGCCCTCAATACCCTTAGTGAAGCCTTACAGTGGTGTGATCTGACCAACTAACTGGACACTGTTTTTGAATAGTATTAGCAAATTATCAGTGTAATACAATGTATGTTATATTCATTCAATTTTATTAATGGAATATATTCATTAAACTCTTAACAAATTAACAATACATTATGAGACTGTTGACTTTATTTTTCACAATATTTTCATTAAAATGTATAAACAGTGCTAAAGCTTTGTGGTTATCTATAAATGTCCTTGGGTGACCTGTAACAGACACAAGCTGATGCCCGATACATGTCAGCTGTGCTGGGGTATATTAAGAAATAAAGGGACAAGTGGTCCCCAATGTCAGTAACACCAAGTCTAGCAGGGAACAAGAAGAAGTTTCTAGTCAACCTTTACTTGGAGGTTTATCACAATAATGCTTCAATCTTTACATAAAATCTGTATAAATCTGTATACGCAAAGTGCTCATGAGACTAGGTCCATAAATCTGATCTGTTAAAAATAAAACTGAATTCAGTGTTTTCATTGCCAAGGAAGACTTAAGCTTGAACATAGGATTACTAATAAGGAATCATAAACAGATTTACCTGAATTCAGTATGAATATGGCTCCACATAGACAGCTGACCGTGTAGAAACCTCCGTAATGTTTGATGATAATGCTACTGACTAGTGGCCCAAGGATGAAACCGATGCTGGACACAGAGTTAAACCTTCCATACACTCGACAGCGCTGGTCTGCAGGTGTGATGTCTGACAACATCGACCTTGATATACTCTGACTTTGTTTAAACATACCTACCAGAAACAAATTAAAAGCAACATCAAACGTTTTTCATAATTTGTGTTTACTCTAATGTTGATCATAAATATCACATTCCATAAATTTCTCAATCTGACAGAATATTTACAATATGTTAATTTTATTGCCAATAATTGTGTTACTTCATGAAAAATGTACCGAGACCAACAAACCTATTGTTTCTTTCCTTTACACTGTATGAGTATGGAAGAAATAAAGAAAATGGGCAGGATCTATTCCTTAACAATTGATGACAGAGGTGATTACAAAATTCTCTATGATCATCACACAAGCTCTTAACATACATGTACCTGTGATAATTCGTGAGAAGATGAGTATTGTCAAAGTGCTGGAGAACCCCATCGTCAGGTAGCCCACAGCAGACATGAGAAGACAAGGTACTAGACATACCTTTCGACCCTTTATGTCACTCCATCGACCCTATACACAAACACTTCAATGCTTCATTCATAGTATTCAATATATACATGTTAGCCTACATCAAAGTTCACAACAATAACTGCTACAGCATACAAGTTTAAGTAGAAACCTTTACAAAATAAACATGGCTTCAGATCAAAGACTGATATATTCATATGTACAGTAGAGTGACTTGAAAATATTAGTGTTTATGTGGTGTTTTCATTCTGTACACCGATTGACTTTTTCTAGCATATAAAATGGATAACAGAGGTCATTATTCATTTCAATGCCCCAGCTGAAGTCTGATGCTCAATCAATTGAGCTAAACAGAACTTCTCTTTAGCTCAAGTGGTTGAGTGTCAGAATAGTAAGCCAGATTATACTGGATCTGAATTCTAGTCAAGGCATTGGAATAATGATGGCCTCTGTTACAGATGTTTTAACACAAAAAGGTATTTACCATGGCAGGACTGGAAACGAGTTGCAATGCACCATACACAGACCCTGTTCGGGAAAAATCATTTATCAAACTGATATATAAAAACAACCATGTCAAGTCAATAAGTCAATGGAATACGGCTTATCACTATCAGTTTTGAAGTCTCAGATAATCTGATAAATTTATCAACAATTTTACTGGGGAGTAGAATCCTAACTAGGTAGAAACCAAAAGATGGTGGATATATCAGTTCTGATGATTTTTTAATGCTTACTTTGAAAGTATAGAGAAAGGCTTAAAAGAACTTTTTTCAAAACTTTACTATAGGCAAAGATGTACTAAAAATTCCAACAGTTCCTCACAACAAATATTGTTATTTTAACGAGTATCAAAATATCTGTAAACTTTCATTCCTGTTTTGTAATCAAGAGATCTTTTGTTGATTGTCAATGATTACCAATAAAGCCTGCTACAGTTGATGAAGCGCCAAGCTCTCGGGCGTGGGTTCCAATCTGTGACACTATCATGCTGACACCAAACAGATCCTAAAGGTAAGATACTTCATTATAACAAAAAAATGAACGAGTGGCAAAGTTTTATGATTTAAGGAATATCTCTTGTTTCAGAGCCAAATGCAATACCGAATATCAAATGTCTATAAAGGCTTCCCATCTCTGCTTCCTTGAGTGGTCTCGAGAAAGCCAGATTTTAAAGAAATTGGCAAGTTACTACAATGGAGGGGAGATGACTCAACATTTGGTAAAATAAAACCGTTTTCGTTTACCTTTATAATTAAATGTATGGTTAAGTATAACTTTAGCCTTGTCAATATATGTTCCTATTCCATGAAGTGAAAACATTATTTTCATCTATCAACAGTAACACGTATACAATATGAATACAATTATTGACAGCCTCATAAAGAGGAGAAATCAGACTGATAGTGCCAACGTGGAAATTGACATTTCTAAATATGTGTGCTTTATTGACATGTTATCGCAGTAATCGTTGATACATACCAGAAAGCCCGACACGTAGAGCACTGTCGCTATCTCCATTCTGCATGCTGTAAACTAAGCGTACTTTCTTTTTCACACCTCTTCTTCCGGTCTACCTTAACGCGAGTTATCTACCTTGAACCTGTAGCCAACTTTTTTTTTTTTTTTTGACATGAAAAGTGGTGTATTTACGCAAAATTTTGTACAGGTGGCGAACCTTTTTCATGTCTCAAAATTATTTAAATATACTGAATTTTCAAATTGAAATTTTGTTTTATTATCTATATTTTTTAAGAAGTGTTTAAAAAATTCCAAGAGAAATGATACTTCAGAATTATTGTATATTGCATTATAAATTTGGTAACAAATATGTTGATGGGGTGGGGGGGGGGGCTGACGATTCCTAATATGCCTGTCCAGCTCATCCCACAGATGTTCAATGGGAGTCGTATTGGGGCAAAGGCTGAAAGTTGTTTGTTGTGAGGGGGGAGGGGGGGGGGGGGCTCGCCAACAAGTGTTATGCTCTTCGGGGAGCATACGGTCAACGGTTTGTATAAACAAAAAACTCCACCAGTAGATAGATCACAGCAAGGAGAAATGCGGTGCACTAGAACAAACACTCTCTTTTGCATTAGTTAAGAGTTATTGCACTTTTATCTTTAATACTTAAATTTTGCCCGGAGCATTACACTTAAACTATAGGAGGTATTAACATGAAACCTCTGAAGTAGGTAGATCTCAACCAGTAGGAGAGAAGTGCACAGGAATCATAACTCTGTTACTGCCTTTGTTATTTTTCATACTTTAGTTTTGTCCCATTTGGGGAGCATAACCTGTGTCTGAGAGCCCTTGTTTATAAATAAACACAAGCTGACTTTTTTGCGCTATTGTTGTAAAATAACTAAGGTTTTCCTATATTCGGCACCAACTGGTCACAGAAGGAAATTAATGTGTTGAATCATTTGTTTGAAAGTCCCTACATCTGGGCGTTGACACCAAGTGGTTTTTCTGTACATCTAACTTCTTATCAAGGCTCCCAAGCTTTTGGAAATCTTTGACACCAACTTGCCCATGCTTAGTTCAGATATTTTGGATCAGTCTCCATCAACCTGCATTTCTCGGAACCCTGTGTTGTAAGATTTCCCCTTTTTTGTCAGTTTTTATCAAAGAAATAATCAAACTGTGATGCTACTGTGTGACATTTTGTAATTCGCGCCCCCAGTCTACCCTCGATAAATTAGATCGACATAATTACATTAACTGTCAGCGCCTCCCCATATGTATGCCGTCATGACCAGTAAGCTACAGTCAGTTATCGATTCCTAACCCTGCCGAGATCAGACTAAAATGCACCGCAGTAAATTCAATGGCATGTAAAGCCAATGACGTACTATGAATTATTTAATTACGGTCATTCTGACCATCGGCTGTTTGGCCATGTCCATAACGATAGACTATCGTCCCTGGTGCAAGTTAGCGCCGTTTCGTCGTTCCGGAACCACTGATCGATTTGTCTCTATAAGCAGCTACATGTTTGTATCCATATCGTATGTCCACCGAGACCAGACAGAACAGCTTCCTCTCTTTATTAACTCTTAGACCTATACTCTACAGGAGAATTGGGAAATATCGGGTTGAGTACAAATCTCGTATGACATAAAAGAACAGAACGTTTTTTCCCATTTCAGTCACAATTCTGATAATTCGAAGCACATGATTTGATAAAAGGCATTAACACGAGGTTCTCTTGAGAATAAGATGGCCGAAATGTCACGTCCTATCACAGCATTGATGGCTACTAATTTTACGTGTGTGACATGCACTACATGTCACGGTGTGTGGGAGCGCCACTGAACGATTGAAAGTACAGCGTGTGAGTTCTAATAGCTTCGGATTCCAGTGTTACATAAACGTGAGGAAGTGTTTCATTTCTGATCCGTGGTCTGTTGTTTGACCTATGTTGAAGGCATGTCCACGCGTACCGACCCGTCACTAATCACGTGGAACATCAGGCGCCTATCAGACCATACCACCACAGCTAATCATGATGGTAGATAGCAGATTCTCCCTGCCGCCGACAAATACCACGGATTATAAACTGACATAATTTACGTTACCGCTTCGTTGTACCCAGATGTTTCAAATTCATATCTCCGACATTGATACGGGCACTATGACCGTTTCCCTCGATCGACCTTTCCTATATATATCCTTGACGTTGATTGTCATCGAACTACTCAAGTCGATAATTTATATTCATCTTATCCTAAACCCTATATTTACGAAATGATTCGTTCGTCATTATTACCTTCCTATCGTTATTTCACACGTATCTGTCTAATTTCTTCCTCAAATTTGTATAATTGTCCTGACATATTGGAAGCACAATAGCCAAAACACACGCCATATCTTATTCTACAAAGGACGGGAAACGGTAGGATCGAAGATGTCAAAGACAAGTCTAAATGAAAATGAAGAGAGTAAGGGACATTTATGAAAATTAAGACGAAGAAAGGTCAGATCGCAATGAACAGTCCATATAACGGAGAATGGTGATTATCAGACAGTAAAGATCACGGAGTGGAGACATATCAAAGAGAGTAAATATGGATGGAGTATGAAATGATATTTAAGAGAAAGAAAACGGAGAGGTGAAGTAACATTAATAAGAACAGAAGAACGACCAAATCAAATCAGAGACGTACACCTGTTATTTAAGTCTTTGTCCAAATAATAGAGAAAGGATAAAAGAAAATTGAGTGACCACATTGAAGAGAGCGAAGTACCGAGTAAGGCCAGGTCATTTTACTTTAAAGACCTATATATGAAAGAGGCCAAATAGGCCTAAAATAAATTGCTACACTACAATTTCCATAGAAGACATTGGTTAGTTAATAAAGACAATTTCTACAAACTTGAAATCCTATTCTTTATACATGCACTACACCAATGCCATTATTCCGAACATATTGCTTGTTGAAAAAAACAGATAAAAAAGGTCATTGTCCTTTTGCTTATTTGGAAGAAGTTGCTTACGCATTTCAAAATATTTGACCCCTATGACTCTGATAGCAGGTCTAGATGAACAAATTTTGTAGCCATTCATCCCAGCATGCTACAGGACCAATATCAGCACAATGGACCTTTTGGTAATTGAGAAGAAGTCGTTAAATATTTCAACACATTTTACCCCTAAGACTTTGAAAGTGGGCCAGGGTAATTCATTTGCACAAACATGAGTTTTTATCTCATCATAATACAGACCAAATGTCAGCATCCTGTGCCTTTTGGTCGAATAGAAGTTGTTTAAACATTTGAACATATTTAATCCTGTGACCTTTCAAATAGGTCAAGGTCATTCATATTAACGATCTCAGTAGCTCTAACCGCAAGTATGCTACAAGTCTGATATTAGCACCCTGGACGTTTTTGTTATTGAGAAGAAGCCCATTAAATAAGTTAATATATATGACCCTTGTGACCTTGAAAGCTGGTCAAGGTCATTTATATTAACAAACTTGGTAGCCCTTCATCCAAGCATGCTACAAGCCTAATATCAGCACACTGAGCATTTTGGTTATTGAGAAGAAGTCGATTAAACATTTCAATATATTTGACCCCCGTAACCGTAAAGCTAGTCAAGGTCATTTATATGAACAAACTTGGTAGCCCTTCATCCTTGCATAACACAGACGTGATAGCAGCATCCTGGGCCTTTTGATTAAAAAGAAGTCGTTTGAACATTTTTACGATTTTGGGACCTTAAAAAGCGATCATGGTAATTCATAAATATTCATATATTACACAGGTATGATGTCAGTAACTCTACATGTGTATATCTAGATGTGATGTCAGTAACACCACATGTGTATATCTAGATGTGATGTCAGTAACACCACATGTGTATATCTAGATGTGATGTCAGTAACACCACATGTGTATATCTAGATATCATGTCAGTTACACCACGTGTATATCTACAGGGGTGATGTCAGCAACATCACATGTGTATATCTACTGGGGTGATGTTATTACACCATGTGTATATCTACAGGGGTGATGTCAGCAACATCACATGTGTATATCTACTGGGGTGATGTCATTACACCATGTGTATATCTACAGGGGTGATGTCAGTAACATCACATGTGTATATCTAGATGTGATGTCAGTAACATCACATGTGTATATCTAGATGTCATGTCAGTTACACCACGTGTATATCTACAGGGGTGATGTCAGCAACATCACATGTGTATATCTACTGGGGTGATGTCATTACACCATGTGTATATCTAGATGTGATGTCAGTAACACCACATGTGTATATCTACAGGGGTGATGTCAGTAACATCACGTATATATCTAGATGTGATGTCAGTAACACCGCATGTGTGTATCTAGATGTGATGTCAGTTACACCACATGTGTATATTGACAGGGGTGATGTCAGCAACATCACATGTGTATATCTACAGGGGTGATGTAACACCACATGTGTATATCTAGATTCGATGTCAGTAACACCACATGTTTATATCTACAGGGATGACATCGTTCACTCTACAGGTACATATATCGACAGGTGTGATGATGTCAGTAGCTCTACATAACCTACAACACATATTTAGATCTGTACAGTTTGTTTATACAGTTCTGTATTATAACTCGACAATCTTGAGAGAGATGGTTGAGTGAGATGGGGTTGGACAGCCCAGTCTCAGGTTGTGTACATGGCGGACATTTAGATGGTTGGCCATATACATACCTTATCCAGAGAGAATGGAACTGATTTCCCAACTGAACATGAAAATGTATATGGGGTCTCCTGACCACATAAATCTTCTCTGAGCTTTTTCTCACTAATGCTTCCAACAGTCCTGTCCAGAACCTTCCATTCTTCTCTCCCGGCCTCCAAGTGTAAATGAAAGAAGGTGACACTGCTTGTTTTTCAAAATGGTTGTAAAATAAATAAAGTTTATATTTTTATCAATATATCTCGCTTTGATGTCTTGATCCTGGTGACCATGAACATCAGTTCAAGAAGCAGTCCATTTTGGGTACTGTACAGGTG